CATTATTCGTTTTTTCATTGCTGTACTCTTCCTTTTCACATTCCTCGTTAGAATCCTCTTCTTTATCTTCAATTTCAGTACTATTGGTATCATCCATAGTTTTATTTACCTTTTTCATCTCATTTTCTTCAATGATGTCTGAGTCATTACATTTGATCTTTTTCTGCAAGTTTATATTTATCCAAATCAAATTATTGAAATTTACATAATTTTTTTAAAATAATAAATGGATTTTTTTATTAACAATTAGTACATCATATTAATGGTATCAGTCTATAATAGTTAAGCCACATGCAACCTTTTTAGACCTTATTTTTAATATATCAGCAATTCAAAACACTTATCAAAAAAAGACATACATATATTTGTTAACTACTTACATTATCACTATCTTCCTCCTCCGAAGAACTTCTTTTTCGTTTAGCACCAAACATATTTGTAATTTTTAATTGTATTCCATTCTTAATAGATTTTTGTCCAGAACTGGAACAAAAAGGAACATGAGAGTTGTTAAAACCATTATGTATATATTTTTTAATTGTCTGTAATTTTAAACTACAATAATTAATTTTTACAGCTCTAAGTTAGGAGCAGTATGCATAGCAGAAAAGACTATGAAACCAAACTCAGCAAAGTTTTACTTCTTTCCAACATCCAAACTAAAATACTTCCTTGTTTAATATCATCATTGCACAGTGAGACTATCTTCACCTATGACATACAGTTGTTCTTAAATTATGGCTTTTAAGCTGAAAATATATGCAAGGAAGTTAAGCTATTTTTTACTTCACATACAAAGTTGTACAGCTATTTAAGAAGTTTTTGTTCTTACCAAATTGATGATATACTTTCTGTATTACTATTGTAAGTTGTAATGGTTTCTGTACTTTCTTTAATAGTAGTGTTGATAAATCCAGGCATTTTGAGTAGAGTAAGTATGCAACTCCAAAGTTATGTCAGGAAACAGGGAAAGATATTTTTAGGTTACCCAAATTATAAAACATGTTATAGCTTCGACTTAAGGTTACAAACGTAAGTTTATAAATTAAGCTAAACACTTTATTAACTTTAAATTCTAATACAAAAGAGACAATGTACAATTTGAGTATTGAATGTCAATGTCTAAATTGGCGCGCAATCTTAAATAGTAACAAATGTTGAAAGTTAGAGCAAAGACAAAGTGCGCAAAGAATGTCGAAGACTTCTCAATACACCCAGTATATGAACAAAGAGTATATAAAATATGAACTTAAAAAAATAGTTTTTCCGACATTATGTTCTCTCTTTTATAACCTTTTCCCAAAAATAGGTTTTTTATATATTTTAAAAGAATTCGATTATAATATTCGGTTTTAAAAACAATACTAACACAATATCAAAGGCACTATTTCTATGCATGAAACTTAATATTTCAGACATTGACAGTTGACGTGTGGCTGTCATTGTCATCAACAAAATTTTAAATAAGGTGTTGGGTCCACTAGCAACTAAAAGAAGAAGAAGAAATAAGGTGTTAATAATATCTATAGCCAGCTATAAACATATTCCGGAATAAATAAGGAAATAAATGATTGAGTCACAACTTTGGATATTTATAAATAAGAAGATACTTTTGCAATGATTACACATAATATTTATAGGTGCACTAGTTTTTTTTGGAAAATCAATTCTATCAGATTATTTTCGTCAAGTGTACTTCCTGATATTGATTTAAACTATTACTGCAATATTGAAAATATAAATGAAATTAAAAATAACATTAAACGAAGGAAAGGTATCGGAGATGTTGATAAAGCTTTAAATTTGTATAATACTTTGAAAACTACTCCAAATGGAGATCAATGTAGTGACTTAATAAAATTAAATCTTTTTAAAGAACTAAATATTTTACCAAATAGAACACATCCGATTGTCGTAAATTATGCTGACGAACCACAAGTCATTCACCAAATAAACCAAAAAAAGGACTTTGGCACACACAAACCTTTAGAATTTAGTAAAATCACAGAGCTTTTAAACCTAATGAGAACAGATAAATTAGGATATACCTGTGGTAATAAAAGTTACTACTACTTTGGAGCATTAGCAGAATTAGAAGAAGCTTTAATTAAGTATACAGTTAGTACATTAATAAGCAAGGATTTCTTATTAATATCTGTACCAGACATATTACCAAGGAATTTACTCGAAGGCTGTGGAATGACTATTAACACTGACAGAACCCAGGTAAATATATAAATCTTAATCCGTAATAATCTAGCAATTCACATTTTGATTTATTTTATTTTAATATATCACATTTAAATAAATTTAAACGTTATTACTATTATAATTAAATATGTTCCATACATTTTTACAGATATATTCTTTAGATCCTTCTCACCATGGACATGATATGTACTTGTCAGGAACATCAGAAATGTCCCTTGCAGGGTTACTGTCTAATTCTGTACATTGTGCAGAAAAACTGCCCTTGAAATTAGCAGCTGTTAGTAGGTGTTATAGAGCTGAAACATCAAATGTTACTGAGGAAAGAGGTACTTACAGGTATGTAGTTAAGAACAAGTAGTTTGTTTTAGATTTAACAATGTTTTTATTTAATCAAAGCCAGCAAAGCATTGCATTTTCTCCTATATCTATATTTAGGCTTAAATTTAGATGCAGCAACTCCCCAACACACCTAAAATGTTGTTCTACATTAGACACTCTTATTTCCAAGCTGTTAAGATGTTTTATATCCCCTATAAGTACTCTTATTTACTTCTCTTCTAGAGTTCATCAGTTTACAAAAGTTGAAATGTTTGTAATAACTAAACCACAAGAATCTGATGGTATGTTGGAATACATAAGGAGTGTTCAAGAAGAGTTGTTTTCCCCATTAGGGCTTTATATGAAAGTGTTGGATATGCCACCTCATGAGTTAGGGGCACCAGCCTATAGGTATGTTGTTTCTGACATTTACCAATTTGATTAAACTTCCAACTTTATGAACATCATTATGTGATTAATATCTGTAAAAATAAAACTATTCTTTTAGAAAATATGACATTGAAGCCTGGATGCCAGGACGGAATTCGTATGGAGAAATTTCAAGTTGCAGCAATTGCACAGATTACCAATCAAGAAGATTGCATATTAAATACACTGATAATGATGAAGAAAATTATGTTCACACTTTGAATGGTACCGCATGCGCTATTCCAAGAATGCTGATTGCATTGCTTGAAACACATCAAGATCCGAAGGGTAAAATCATCATACCCAAAGTACTACAGCCTTTTATCAATGGAAATACATTTATTGGGAAAAATACTCAAGTACCAAAATTAAAGCTACGGAAATAAAGTTTAATGAATTATTTATTGAATTGTGGAATCATGATTTTGTTACAAGTTTTTGTTGCTTGGATGCTTTTTTCATTTTAGCCTTAAATTTATTTATATCAACAGTAGGTTCATTGGAAACTGGTACACTGTCTTTTACTTTTTCTTGTGGAGGTATGTAGTCTTTCTTCCTCTTTTCTTCTCGTACTTTCTTATTTTGCAATTGTTTTTCTTCTTTTTCATGTCGTCGTTTAGCTCTCTTCTGTTCATCCTTCAGGAAGTATTCACCACTGGCTAGTTGTTGGTCAATTTTACTTTCAGGCTGTGGTGGTGGGAATGGAGTATAAGGCTTCTTTTTGACCGTTTGTTTTGGTTGTTTCCTTGGTACATTTTTACTCTTAAATGTAGGCAAAAACCTATCCCAACTTTCATTTTTTAACCTAGGGTCTTTCATTAACTCTCTTTTAATCATTAAACTCTTAATATTATACATTGGATGAATGTTTTTCATAGTATCTTCTACAATACGCCTTACTTGAATAAGGCCTTTATATGGACCGACAGCTGAAACTGTGTTACCCTGCACAAGAACATAACATTCAGTTAATAATTCTATAGATTTCAGTGTCACTCCATTTGGACCAATAAGACGTTGCCTTCTTTTTAAAAATGTTTCCTTTTTGCGAACAAATGAGTTTATTTTAATAATGTCACATCCAATTTCATCATCAAGCACTCTGGAAGCTTGTTCAAATGGTACACTTCTAGAAAGCAGTTTCATAAAGTCTCTTGCCTTTATAATAATATAAGGATCCCATGTTTTCTTTGTTGTTTTAACGGTTAGGCTTCCTTCTATGAGATCTAATTCTGCTATTATATGATGTTCTTTTAAAACTTTCTGCACAAGTGGCCAACATTCTTTTAAATATTGTTCACGATATTTAGGAAATAAAGTTGCAAATTTACTTTCTTCTAGAAGCCCATGAGGATTATCTTCTGGGGTAAATTTCGGAATTTTTATAGCCCATGCATTATCAACGGGCCCTGTCTCTGCCGTAGTCTGATCTTCCATTTTTAAATCAAGCTCAACTCCGCTAGTAAAAACAATAGTTAAGAATTCAAATATAATTCATTTTCATAATTTTGACTTGTATGAAAACTGGTAAACTTATGAAATTAACCTCACTTTTACGTGACATAACCATAGATAAGTGGCAATGTTTTATTAATAATTTCGTGTTACCAAAGAGTATACAAAAATCTTCTGGTTGCTACCTTTTTTTTATTATCTGTAGCTGTTACTTTGACTATAGATAAATGGACTACGCAAATACCGCCCTTGAATTTTTGTGTTTTGTTTTGTAAATTTTTACGCGAGGTAAGAAAAAGTCGCCAATGACACCGGTGCATATAATATACACGAAATTTAAACGTCTTTATATCTACTTGTACTTGATTTGTATATCAATACAAAAACAAAAATCATTTGTGTCCTCGTTTTATATAATTTGACAGTTATTCCTGTTCTATCTTTCAGAAGTCGTCTAATGAAAGTCATTTGTAGTACCATCCTTAATAAAATCTTAACATAAAAGCTAAAGAAGTAGTTTCATTTACTTTTCAGCAGTGACCAGTCCTTTTAAAATGGTGTACTCGTGTATTCCTTCAGTTCGCACACATTCATCACATCGCTACACTGTGTAATCTATGGAAGCCGGACTCTGTTTTTATGCTCTTTCTCTTTGGTGTACTGTAAACTGTGAAGTTACGAAACACACACATAGCATGGAAAAATTTCATGACATGTTGTGATTGTGTTGTGAGACATGTTCCCACCTCGTACAAATGTCCATATTTTGATTTGAATATATAATTAGTGGATATCTTGTTTCCTCTTTTTACTTTAGCGTTGACAACGTACGTTAAAAAAAACTAAATCAAACAAATGAATTGTTATTGTCAAGTTTGACATTCACATTGCACTTTGATTTTGTCGAAACTTGTTTGAGAACGTGTTTCTTTTGTTTACGCAACGCCGCAATGAACATGGAGTGGACAAAAGCCGAAACAATAAAATTTATAAATCTGCTAAAAGGATTTCCATGTTTATGGAACAGTCAAAACAAAGACTTTAAAAATCGACAGAAACGTCGCGAAGCTTTAGACTATATAGCCCAAGAATCAAATACAGATACAAGAGCTGTGGAAAAAAAAATGGTATCTCTAAGAACTCAATACAACAGAGAAATAAATAAAATTAGAACGAAGACACACGCGGGCTATGAACAGCCAACATCCAGTTGGTATGCTTATGATCTTCTGCATTTCTTAAAAGATAACAGTAGTCCCAAACCTGCAAAAGATTCGTTTACAGTAAGTTCAAATATGTATGTACAAAATTACGTGATAATGAAGCCTATACAATAACATATTATCAGTAAGCATAATTTTGATGGCACATATGTATAGTAATACATATGTGCCATCAAAATTATGCTATAGAATAGAATAGTATCTCACAATTTTCGAACTTGTCGAAAACTTATCTTTGTAATTAATAAGAAAAACCTTAAACTAAGTTTACATTTCGGTTGTTTCTCGTAAATTGATTTTGCTATCAGTGTATTTAATCGTAATTTGTAAGTTCTGTCTTGTAGAACTTGTATTAAAAATATAGGATTATTTACATAGAAACAATCAAAATGTGCATATGAAATAAGTACATTTCATTCAACTTATAAACAGTGTTTATTCAAATATTACAGCGTAAAATAGTAATATTTTGAGGTCATGTCATTTCTCTTCTGCCTTTTGGGCGACAAAACTAACAAACCATATCCATCTGTTCAAACAATCTATTGTTGCTGCAGGTTACTGTAACATGTTGCTGCTATTGTATTAAGTTATTGTAGAGCAAAATGTAATCAAAATACCGTTCAACAATATAAGCTATATTACACATTTTTTCAAATAACTAAAAAAGTATAAACCACCTCACCATTATAGGTAAACTTGATTAAAATTAAACAATTTTAATGAATTAATATATGTTATTTTTAGATTACATTCACTCCAAATAAAAAGGAAGAATATGGCGATCCTTATGATTCCGGTTCTAATCAATCACCAACAAACACACAACAATCACAGCTGTCCAGAAGATCTAAAATGAGGAATAGTGTGAACCAAATGAAAACATTGAATTTATTAAACCATGCATCAAATGCAATAATAAACAGACAGAAAAAGGATGAGTTTTCAATTTTTGGAGAAGCAGTTGCAAGTGAACTACGTGATATAAAATCAAGAAAAGAAGTGATAGAGCTGAAAAAAAATATAATGGATATGATTTACATTACAAAGATGAACATTTTAGACACAGAAAAAACCACCCCGACTTCGCCTCCTCCAAACTCGGAGGCAAATTTAAATGAAAAAGAAAATACATCTGGTAGTTCTGATATCCATTCAATTTTGGGAAAGGTTGAGGTAGCTATGGATGGTGAATGGATGAATGGAGACTCATAAAATATGACTTTTGTGTATAACACACTGAGTGGCTCCATGGGTACTGTGGTAGTTTTTTTATTCTCAAGTTATGGAAAGGTTCATGAAAGAACACCATTTACATTATTAGTCAATGATTTTTTCTATTTTATTGTTTAACTACTTAAAATGTCTAGATGTCAAAACACAACAAGATCTGGACGAAAGATGTTGACTTACCATTCAAAATGTTTTATTAATATTAGAATAATATATGATTTAATATAAGTATTAAGATTTTTATTTTTTAAACTGACTGATATGTAATGTTTTGCCCTAAGCTTATCTGGGGGGGAAAAATCTTGACCGTTTGACATTCTCAGGGGGCGCTAGTGAGCTGTCCTAGTATTAGTTTGATTTATGTTCACCCGGGTCAGAAAACTTTGTTGGTTTATAAATATTATTTCAAGTCAAGATTACAACAAAAAAAATTGTCGATATAAATAAAGCATTGCTTAGGTCTTGAGGTGAAATGTATGGACACCCATTTGATTTGCTCAAATAGTGAAATCGATACATGTAAATAAAATTGTCATTTATAAAGTTACTTTAATTTGATTTTGCTCGGCAGCATTTAAGGGGCACTATCAGTTGGGTTAATTGGTTATAACGTTAACTATTTCTTGTTTAATATTTTTACAATCTTTAAAATTACAATAGTAAGTTAAGACTTGAAATAAGTGAAATGGGAAGTTTTTTTCACCTACCTTAGTTATTATGCTTGACTGAGAGGAAGATTTTATTTTTACCCCATTGCAACCTAAAGTCACACCTGAACTGGTGAGAGGCGCTGCTATCTATCTATGCTATATATGGTGAAAAAATGACATGACAGCTACAGTACAAAGAGTATTTATATACTCTTTGCCTTTTAAATTTTTTGAAGTCGACAGGGGAACGCTAGGTGAGTTATTATAATTCAGATTAACTTAACTCTAACCTATTTAAAAGCCACTGCTTGGAGAACGAATGTTTCTCCGTGGACCGTCCACCTAAGCGATCTAAGAGCTCGGTGACCTCCCAATCCGGTAACAATAACGAAGTAATAGCCCGTGCCGAGGCTCCTGAGGGAGCCATCGATTCTTGTTACTCTTAAACAAGTTTCAGTGCCACCTGCGCTCGGCCACCTCAAGCCCGGTGAACATGTAAATGCCTCTTGAAGGCACACTACTCAGTCACCAATAAAAAGAATGATGACATAACTCAATCGGTTCAGTTAGCCGTGTCGATCTATGTCAGTCTTTCCCAAAGTGGACGATAACGCTCCCTTGAGTTTCGTTTAGAATTCTCCGTTAATAGGTCACAATAATTAAGTAATTTAATTTGAAGTTATACTCGTTTTTAAATATGTGAAAATATGGGGGCGCTAAACAAATATTCTCAAAGTGGGCAGTAGACAAAATAAGTTTGGGAACTACTGATCTATGTAGACCTATTTTGGAGGGCAAGAGGACGAGATTTCATTTGATTAATATTCCTTTATAACTAAGAACTAGACTAGACTAAGAATAGTCAGCAGTGAATAAAGAAACATGCGTTACATGATGGAGTGAAGCATCACGTCACAATGGTATCAGAAAAATAAAGTTTTGTTAATTTTTTAATTTTATTAAATCACGTTACATTTATTATTACATACCAGTCTATATAAAAATAGAGCACACTAACCCTAGGATTTTCAAACATTTTTGTTATATATTTAAATGTGCTTATTGCCAAATAAAATAAAGCCGATAATTATATTCATACATTACTTACTATATCTGAAAAAACCTTTTATGCATATAATTTCTAGTTTATAACATTACTGATACTAGAGAAGATATTTTGAATAGACATAAAATACCACTAGATACCATGAGATATTTAATTTAACTCGCAAAAAGCGGTGCTTGCGAAAGGTTTACCTCGTTATAATATTTCCAATATAAAAATAAATATATTAATATGTGAAATTATATATATCTTATTGGTTTTATAATTTTCTAACTAATGACATAAAAGTTTCTATTATATTTTGCGTAACATAAAAAAGCATTTAACGATTGATAACGCACCTAGAAATAAATTGAAATTACTGTGCCATGGCCTAAATCTAAAAAATATTTTTTTTTTACTAAAGTATACCGCAATACTTTTTAGGACCACAGTGGCCTAGACTTGGGCTTGCTATTTACTGTATTAAAATAGAAAAGAAACAGCATTTGTGTAACTGACAATACTGAAGAATGTATGGTTAAAACAATTCAACCATACATTCTTCGGTATTACTTACACAAGAGATATATACATACATATATGAAAGAATAGCATAAACTATGTCAATACTCCCTAGGGAAAAGAAAGAAGATAATGAATTGTTGGAAAAAAGTCTGCCATAAAAATATTAAGAACAGTACAAGTTTGGGTACAATATTAAATTGACTACTGATTTTTTTATCGCACAATTTCTACAAAATTGCAATATTTAAATGAACATTTAAAAAGTGTATAGCCAGATTATAATTTTATAGATGTTTGTTTTTTAAATATTTAGGCTTTATGGAAATTATACTTAGTGCCCATAATAGTTGATATACTAATCTTAAAACTAAATAATGTTTGGTGCAAGTTAATCTATGAAAAAGTTGGCCATATTATTATATTGTTCGGACCAAGCAGCATACGAGGAGCCATCCATCTCAGGCGCGTGGCTGTTGGTGCCGAGCAGCCTGTGACTGGAGCCACCGATGCGAGCGCCGCACTCCACACATTGACCCACTTCCATGGCGCCGCCACATTCTCCGATGCAATAGAAGTGGCCGTTAGGGCATTTGTACCAGTGACCGGCTTTAAGACCTATAGCTTTAACAATCAAATCGCGCTCCTCTTTGCTTACTATACCAGAAAGTTCAACCTTTTTCTGTAAGTTACTTAATGAATTTAGAGCTTTTTCTTCTTCAAAAACATTCCAGCCAAGTATGAGCTGTTTGGCCGCGGCCGCGTATTGCGTCAGTGCAGAATTCTCCGCGACCGCTCTCTTATACACCATATGACCTGTTATTTTGTTCAGTTGAATTATGTAATTCAATCTCTTTATTTCTTTTCCAATATCTGTTTGTTGCTGTTCGCTAATTTTCTGTGTATTTGTGTTTAAATATTGACATATTGTTTCAATGTGTATCCGCAGGTCCACTTTCGATTCGTCCATTACGATTGCGAGTGATTTATCGTAAACATCAGATATCATATCCAATATTTCTAGAAATATGAAAGCCATCTCCAAACTTAACAGTGACCTCTTCTTCTTTTGATTACATTTCGCTGATAACTTTGAGAGTGATTTTTTCCATATCGGGATATCTGAAAGTTGTTGCTTTTATAATAGAAGAAAAATTAAACATTCTATATTGAGAAACGTCAATTTTTTCCTCTAACAAGGTAAATATAAGGATTTTCATTACAACCAAAAATCTTAAATATTACGGTTACGACAATTTAAAAAATATAAGCAAATCTAAAGTTTAAGCAGTTTTAATATTAAATCAATATGTTACCTGTGCTAATCGCTTTAATTTTTGCCTTAAATTCCTTCACTGCATTTTCAAGCTCATTCTGTTTGATTTTTATCTGTTCCGTAGTTCCATAAACCCGCTCTTTGACCGGATTGATCTCGAGAGCGAAGGTTCTGTTGACGAGGTCCTTGTATCTGTTGGTGTTGATGATGGGCGTCCTGCAGAAGGGGCAGGTGCGGATAGCGATGGTATCCCTGTCCGCCGTCATCAGGCTGTGCAACTCCTGCACCTCCATCACGTGCTGACAGTCCTGCAGCTGAATGAACCTGCAATACATTGCACACTGCTGTCCCTTATTATTTAATGAGCAGACTTGACGAGATAAATATTTTCCAAGTAGTTTTTAAAGATTTACAAGATTAAAGAATTAGTTAAGAAAATAATGATGTAATACTTGGCATCATCATCGTATTCCTCGCCGATGAAACCCGTGGGGAAGTTGTCGGGGCGGCAGAGTTTGCAGATGTCGGGACAGGGCTCGCCGCACAGGCCGCGGCAGGGGTGCCCGCAGCTCAGGGCCCGCGGGCAGGGCGCCTCGCATGCGGCCCGCGAGCACGCCTCGCCGCAGCGCTGCTGGCACGTCCCGTGCGGGCATCGCCGACTGCACGCCTCCTAGCCTCCACAAAATGCACGCATTATTTGCTGTTGCAAATACTCCCAACTCCCGCCTTAGCTTAATTTATAGTCTTTACAAAAACATAATTTTTAAGAAACATTTAGCAGTCAAGTGTGTCTGGAAGCTTTATGTTATGGTTTAATGCTGATCGGCGTTGAGCCGAGGCGTGCAGCGTACCTGGCAGGGCGTGCACAGCTCGCCGCACAGCTTGTTGCACTGGGAGTGCGTGCACCGTACCTCGCACCGCTTGCTGCACGGCGGGCACACCTGGTTGCACGGTTCCTGGCACCTAAACATTTCATCTTACATTTCAAATCAACACCACAATCATTATTGTAAATATACTGTCATAATGCGAAAGTTTGGATGGATGGATATTTGTTACTACTTTCTCAAAAACGTCTTAACCGATCTCAATAAAATTTGGCACGGTTCTAGAACAGAGTTTGAAAGAACACGAGTTTTTATTTGCACTCAACTGTACAGACGAAGTTACGGATAAAAGCTCGTCTTATGATTCCTTACTGATGTCCACAGATGTTAGTTTGGTGACAGGTCTGGCTGCAGGCGACGTGCAGACGGCCCTGGCGGCACTGGGAGCACGTGCCCCCACACAGGTGCCCGCACGCCAGCAGCGCCCCGCACGGCGCATCGCAGTGCCGCAAATATACTTCATCTGTTAGTTCTTACAAAACAATTTTATCGTATTATTACTTCTTAATTGCGACATTAGTATCCATTGCACACTACATTACACTAAATTCTTTACAACGACACGGAAACTATCAATGCATAATGTAAGAAAAATGTCACGTGGAGCATCCGATGTTTACAGACAATGGGCCCCCGTTGTTAAATTTGGGTTAAGTATACTGAGCCACGTCAAATCACAGCATATTATTTTCAAATTAAAAAATTTGGATAGCAGGAAATTCATATTTTTTAAATAGCTTACAAAACTAGATATTCAAATAATTAGGCTTAGTAGCAATAAATAAATGTCAGAATATAAACTACATTGCAAAACTGAACTAATGCGTCATATCGTCTCGTGAGAGGACGCATGGAAAGATAAAATATTTTCTTTCTGTGCATCCTATCCTCCGTCGATTAAAGGTAGGCAACGCGTATGCAATTGCGTATGACTATGGGCAACGGACACTTCGCTATCTCAGCGATTTCCGGCGGCCGCTCGCTCGTTTGCCACCTCATGATATAAAAATATATATATATATACTTTGGAGGTTTTTAGGCACGTGCGATAGTTGTAAGAGAGACGCCATTGTATCGCTACGTCCGTAAAATTGACATTAAAAAAACGACATATTCCAAAGTAATTAAAAATCCACAATTTAGCAGAACATCGCAATTACAAAAAAATTAAAATATTTATAATGGGCGTTACAATGCTGACCGGATTGGTTCTTCCTCAGATTTGTATGCTGGGTGCTCCTATTTGAGCACGTACGTAGTACGCACAGATGTTCCACAAAAATTAAATTATACTTTATTACTTAGAGTTAGGGAGTCACAAAGTTACCAGTGACGGAGTATCGTACGACGTTGCACGGCAATCGGACGTTGTGTAAGCAAGGGGATTTGTAGATTTGGTCCGCGGTGAGGGTGCAAGTGGTGACGTCACAGCGGTCTGCACAGCGGCCGAGGCAAGCGTGGCCGCAGGACAGTGTGCGCTCGCACCTCTCGCCGCACACATCGCGAGTCGCCGCCTCCTTGCATTGCACCTTCACTTTGTGCCCGCACTCCGGTATTACCTTTGTTACCTTCACATAAAATAATATATTCATATAAATACGAATGATTGGATGTTTGCAAGAAGGCATCTCAAGAACGGCTGTGTGGTTCTAGCTGAAATTCGTCATAGTTGTAGAACATAGTCTGGAAGAACACCTAGGCTAATTTTCTTTTAATTCCACGCGGATAAAATAAAATACAATTCGAAAATTTTGTGATACTTATGTTAGATTGATAAATTTAGGATTATATTATTTGTATATGTAAGCTATGTTTATTGGTTAGTTGTGATACATTGTAGGTATAGTATATAATAACCATTTGTGTGCAGTCTCCACATGTCTCGAAGCATTTCTTCTTGCAGAAGTGTCCGCACGGCAGGGAGCGGGCACATTTCTTCTTGCATTTTGTGTCGTCCACGGATTTGTTGCAAGCGATGAGTTCAGCATGTTTACAGTTGGCACGTTTCTTTGTAACCTTTAATTATACAATAGCGTATGTAATATTTAGCTGTGAGAAGAATAGAAATCGAATAAAATATTTAAATTGCTGAAACGTTTTAGACTACAATTTACAATTGAAAAGACATACAAAAATTTTCAAAAATACTACGCACTATTATTTTGTAAAACACAGATTCAAAATTTATTCTGACATATATTAACTCAAAATTATAAATAAAAAATATTATATAAAAATTATTTTTGTACACACTTCCACAACGCATGGATCACAAGCTTCATGACATTTCTTGGGGCACTGGTGGTTACCGCGGTCACCATCAAGACCCGCCGTACATCCTTGTTTGGCTTTTGCGCAAGGCTTTTGACATACGTACTGAAAAAAAAAACATGAAAAGAAATAGAAGAAAACAGGACGCATGCGCGATTTCTTTTTTTCGTGTTAAAAAAAATGTAATTATAGGAACAAAATAAACATCCTGTAATTATCAACATATAATTTTCTTTTTTTATTAAAACTTACTTTTTCATGATGAGGATCATTGTCGACGTGGCAAGTGCGCTCGCATTTGTGGCCACATTTCTCAACCCTGTATATGCAGGGTTTGGGACAAACTACAAATTTCTCATCCAAGGAACAGTACTTCTTTGCCTAAAAATAATTTATGTATTTACTTTTAAAAGTGACATTAATAATTTTTTATAAACCTTCCCGCAACAAATACACGTGTAAAATATTCCCAATGTTTATTATGAATAAATTATGATATTAATATGAGTTTAGTAAGTGCCCCTTCTCTACTCTTCAAGGCCTTAGTGTTTCATGCGCACAAAGAACAAAATTTATAGTTTAACGTGATAAAGCAAATACCTCATGTTGACAATTTTTTAAGACAACGGTGATGATGGTGTCACACTTAACAGAAGGATCTGTGATGTCGAGATGGCAGCGCAGCTGCATGTCGTGTGCGCAGGGCAAGCGGCGTGTCACCAGCACGCTGCACGGCGCGCAACTCTCCGCGCACGCCAGCGTGCACACGTGCCCGCTCTCACATATAATTCTATAAACATTTACCTCAAAAATACCTAGTATAATAACGTAGGGGAATCGAAGGGGGATTTTGGCAGTTAAATATAAAAGGAGAACCTTACATTCAATCGAGAACTCCCCCCACAAATAAAACGCTCCATATAGACTGGCTTTTCAGGATAGCGGGTCGAAATATTAAGTAAAAAAATCTATTGTTAAAAGACCGAGATCGTGAGTTCGAGACAAGATGAGTTAACTTCATACAGAAAAGTCTACTTACAAATATCTGTCAACTTGCACGGTACACAAGGAAATAACAGAGGAAAAAGGAAGGAGACCTAATTTTAGTCCTCACTTACTTCCTATCCTTTTTCATATAACTAAAGTGTGGGAAGTGCAAGTGGGATTTCCGGATGAGACCGATTTATTATCTAGATATTGTCGGCAACAGACTATCCTTACTAGATAATGTATAACGTATTTACCTTTCACATTTCATTGTGCACTTTATGTTGACATGTCCGCGATCGTAGCCGTGACATATCAGCGGACATGGATGTCCGCATGTCAGATTCATAGTGCACTTATTCAAACACCCTCCTTCTGGAAATTTCTCAAAGTCTGCCGCATCTGCAATCTGAATAATTAAAACAATTAACGAAAATATTTAACATTATATTCGCATTTACGAAATTCTTTAGCTAGTCGTCGCCTTAATTCATGAATTAAGATTTTCAAATAGCTTTATGTATTTTTTCACGTTGATTTTAACAGCATTTAAGGGGTAAAAAGTTTTCGCTTCATGTATAAATCTAATCTGAATAATTTTATAAATGCGAATGTTTGGATGGATGGATATTTGTTTGAAGGTATCTCCAGAGCGGTTGAACTGAACCGGCTGAAATTTAGCATAGACATAGAACATAGTCTGGAAGAACACATTTGGCTTTCTTTAAATTCCGCAGACGGAGTCGCGGGCGACAACTAGTATTGATTACAAATCCTAATACTAATAGTACTCTTTCCCTTCCCACCCTTTTTCTCATAAGGAAAGGACGGGAAATGGACTTTCCGGATGAGAGGATGCATGGAAAGGGAAAATGTTTTCTGTCTGTGCATCCTCTCCTCCGTCGATTAAAGGTAGGCAACGCATATGCAATTGCGTATGTATATGGGCAACGGTCACTTCGCTATTCAGCGATTTCAGGTGGCCGCTCGCTCGTTTGCCACCGTATGATATAAAAAAAAAAACAAAGAGATTGAAAGGAGTTTCGATGATATATTTAGATGATCTATTGAGAGACGTTGTAATTTCCAACTTACCCATAGAATTTCTGCGGGATGCCGCTCGCAACGCAAACGCAGTCTACTCCCGAGCGATCCGTTGTTTTCCAAAGTTGTTGCGATTTTCTCCCAAAGTTCAGAATTCGTTTTCAATAAGTCCATATTTCCAAATAAATAGAAACCTTAAAGGAATGAAATTTTCTATAAATATTATGTTACTTGGAATTGAATGAAAGAGGTATGCTTAGATGGTTTAACGCGTTTAAAGGATGAATGAATGAAGATCAACAAAGAAAATTTATAGTGGATATATAATCGTGGTCATGGATGTCCTAGATGGAGTTACACCGTTCAGTACCAGCAGTACAACCTGAAACTGACGAGCATGTATGGGTGTATTTATTTTTAGACATTATTAGTTACAATCCTTTGTCGCGAATGGCGCGCATCATTACAAAATCAAGTGTCAGAATGATTAGTGTGGGGACATAAACGTCGACATTTTAGTAAGGCTAGTATTGCGCCAGTACACCGGCACTATATCGGATTTTCTTCCTAACAGTTTGAATATAGAAGAGAGAGGTGTATCAAGACCGCGCCAAATGGAGATCCGTGTTATCTGTCCATACCTTACAGATATATTTTGAAATTAAATAATTACCTTCTCGTGCTCTGGACAAAGCCACGCAAATCCGGTTTACGGTTCCCAAGAAACCAATTTTGTTGTTATTGTTATTCCGCACGAGTGATAGGATAATAATTTTAGATTCCTCGCCTTGATAATTGTCAACGACGGTGATTTTGATGGCCTTCAAGTGCGCGTATAATGCGCGTTGCTGAAAGTTATGGTGGATCATTATTGTTTTATTTATAGTACCACTTTTATTATTTTACTAACGGTCGACCGCGAATTCATCAGTGCGAAATTAAAGATAAAAAGTAGTATATAATATGCCCGCATACAATATGTACATTTCCGTCAAAGTCCCGTTAAAATCGGTCCAGCGTTTTCGAAGATTAACTGGAACATATGCGACCTTGCGGACAGACTAATGCCCGAATACTGAAAAATTTCAGTATTCAGCCGGTAGAGACACAAAAAAAAATGGTGTTACGTTATACCTCAATGTATGTTTTTATTTTCAGTATGATCAAATATGACACTGAATAAAGTTATAATATTGTATAGCTTGACTATTTTGGTTTAAAAGTACGTTATTTTTTTTAATGCGACAGTTTTTGCAAAAAAAAAAACAGCAACCATACAACAAAGTGTATTCACGATTTTCTTTTATATATATATATAAAAGAAAATCGTGTTAGTTACACTATTTATAACTCAAGAGCGGCTTTACTGATATGGCTGAAAATTGGTGAGGAGGTAGCTTAGAGTCAGGAAACTGACATAGGATACTATTTATTCGATGTTTTTTTTTAATTTTTTCGAATTTATGCCTTGAAGAGCTACTTTTTATTTAACTTACTTATATTAAAAATGCGAAAGTTTGGATGAATGTGATGTGGATGGATGAATGGGTGGCCAACACTAATTAATTTTTTTATATACCCACGCGGACGGTGTCGGCGACAGCTATTGTGATATAAAAATAAGATCTCTTTTATGAAATAACATCTTGGATACTTTACTTACCTTTTGCAAGTAAAACATTTGTCCGGAATAAGCGGAGAGAATTGTAACATCCTCAGGGGCATAATCCTGCTGCACGAGATAATTGGCCAAGCCGAGCACTAAATCCCCTTCTTTCTCATTGCATTTGCTTGAACTTTCGTCGACTTCCTGCATACAAAATGAGTTAAAGTTAAAATCTTTGAAAGTGAACTATGCTCAAATCATATTAAGTATCGTTTATATTCAGTCTTAAGTATAGATAAAAATAAAACCTGTAGATAGGCATTAGGTAAAGCGGAACATAAAAGTGAACCAAAAAATATATGTCGAATAAAGTTGTAATTTGAAAATAAACTCTGAATTTGACGTCAAACTTGTTCGAAACATCCTTTGGTTGCACAAAGCAGTAAAATATAAGTATTTGGTTCACAAGATGGCGATGGGAAGATTTGCTAATATAATTATAATATCATGCCTTACGTTTTCTTTGAAGTCGTGACTGAAGAAGAACAAATTAGTCGTCATCCCTCGCACGTCGGGGAAGTGTTCGACGGAGGGATGGTTGAGCAGGTGGGGGTAGATGTGGGGGGAGATGAGCGAGGCGATCTCCGGGCGCATGCGGTGCTGCACGCCCAGCCGGCTGCTGTGTATCTTGTTGTTGATCATGCGCTCGAACAGTGACACTTCGATGTTGTAATGTTTGGCTAATTTCATATGAGCAGCTGATGGCCGCAATTGTTGATGGTCACCTGTACAAAATATTATTAAAAGTGTAGGTTCCTGCATGTGTAACTTCGCTTTATCTTGCAATCTATAATATAAAAATGATTCGCAAAATGTGTATCTAAGCGCATAACTCAACAACTAATTTGGTCAATTCTTTTTTTTTCAATGTTCGTTGAAGTTCAAAGATGGTTTTTACGCCAAAAAAAATCAAATAATTGCCGGGAACTAATTTTTTTTTTCATTTCACGAGGACGTAGTCGGCCAACCTCCAGTAATGGAGAGGCATTGGAAGAAGAAGAAGAAGAAGACGAGGACGTAGTCGCGGGCGACAAGCTAGTTTCAAATAAAATTGGAATGTAACATACCAATTAGAATAAGATGTTGGCAATGTCGTGTCAGCGATGTTATTATGTGCTGTTCGAGAACTTCTGCAGCTTCTTCTACTATTACTGAAAACAATAATTCCATAATATTAATATGTTGATAAATAAAATTAATAATTAATTTGTTCTTCTTCAGTCACGACTTCAATAAATGAATATGTTGTAAACAATTCTCTTCAGCAAACATAAATGTTAAATTAACCGCTATTTTATTTAATTAATTAACTTTTAAAAATGAACTAGCAAATGTGTCGGTCGCAATAAACGTGTTAAATCGATAAAAGATTTTATTAAATTTCTATATTATGTAGCAGTTACTTATTGGATGAGCCAGAGCCTGTAGCAATTTCCTTAACCTCGCAGCCCCAGTTGTGGTCATGCCGATGACCTTTTTATTTTTCAATATCTCAAGATCTATTGCCATCCTCGTCTCTTCGTAAACTTTACTCGCCTCTGCAAATTCTTCCTGTAAACGTAAATTAAGAAATCGACTTATAAAAAGTGGGAAACATTCATGACTTTCTAATTAACGAGACGTAAATCAATGTTAATGTTCAAGTTCTCTTATGAAGTTATATTTGGTTAATTTATACTTGGTTATGGAATAATTCTAATGATTTTTACGCTTTAGTTAAGGGACTGATACCTTCCCCACGGCAAACATTTATACTAAGTAACTATTTTTAATACTTAAGTCCCAAATATATTTGTATGAAGAATGTGTTGAGTGTCACTTACGTGCAATGGGATAATGCTCTCCGTGAGTTTAGCGATAACAATATCAGCCCAAGAAAAATACAGGAACCAGCGGTCTTGAGTGGACATCTGTGTAGGATTAGCTTGAAGCCGGACGTCGTCGCGTTTGTGCCGGCGATACGCAGACATCTCCTGACACCATAAAACCATTTTGAATTTATTAAACATTTGCTATTTTAACATCAAGTATGTATGTATCACAATATTAATACTATTACTATGCCAGTAACTAAAAAACTAGTGTAAATGCTAAAGGACAAAAAGACAAATTAGTATATTTCACCGATGTCACTGTTTACGTTAAATACTCGGAGATTGTGTATGTATGGAGTAACAACTAGAGTGAGTAAACCAGCGGTTCTAAAACCTTTTTAAATAATGAAACGCCAGTCTAAACGAAAGATTACCCGTACCCTTGTGTCGAATAACTAATAGCTTCGACTGTTCGTCTCTTTTCAACCTTACTGATATGTATTTGTATTAAAACAAGAAATAACTTACTTTAAAAAGATGTATGGAGCTAATATATGAACGAATAATTTCATTGAGCTGTTGTATATCACCAGGATTTGAACATTTCTGATATTGCGCTTCCATATTTCTCATTTCCGATATAGCCTTTGGTAAAGAAAAACTTGTGGTCACGTACTCCGTCAACGACTCGACGACGTTAATATTGCATTCGTCGTTATCGTCATCCAAATCATCGAGACAAAAGTCATCCCTATTGTTTTTGTTTTCATTATCGAGTGATTCAAAATTTTCATTTTCATAAGCATCGGCCGCAGGAAGTTCAGCGTCAACATCTGTATTTTCAAATAACCATTGTTCCAAAGGATCTCCATTGCCGCGACCATAAAATTGTTTCAACACACCTATTTCAGCGACGTATTTCTGTACACACGAGTAACTCAGTACTTCATTGTGTAAAGAATAAAGACGCTCCTGTGCGTCTTTTAATGTTTTATTCAACCTTCTTATTTTATCTCTTTCATCATAGAAATATTGTTTGCCACCTTTTTGGCGACAGAACTGATGCCTTAATTCATTTAGGTTATAATTCTTCATAACTTCGCTGCGCGATTGGCCGCCGATACGTGCGACGGACTGGGTCACCGGCAGAATCGCTTCTAAAAATTGATCCAACGCATGGTTCGTGTAACAAATCATAAGAAGAAGGCAATTTTTTTCAGGCTTTAAATTCTTAATCAATGTTGCGGCAACTTTAACACCGATAAAAGTCTTTCCCGTACCAGGTGGACCTTGGATGACTGCAAATTCATGAGTCAAAGCCAACTTGAACGCCTCGTATTGAGTTTCATTGAGGCCCAACTGATTATTAGTCGGCCACGTCCTCTCATCTTCCACTACAAAACTCTGATCAATATAATAATCACATTCAATTTCGTACACTTGTTGTGGTTTTAGATAACGAGGCAGATTCTGTGTCGGCTGCAATATTAAAACAATAATAAATTATATAAGTATCACATCTTTTATGTCAACCGGAGTAGTTGAGACACCTGAATTGACATAAGTATATCGTACTAATTTTATAAATGTGAATGTTTACATGGATAGATGGATGTTTGTTTGAAGGTATCTCCAGAACGGCTGCATGAATCTCGCTGAATTTGGCATAGATGTAGAACATATTCTGGAAGAACACATAGGCTACTAATTAAGATTTTTTTTTAATTCCCCGCGGACGGAGTCGTGGTTGACAGCTAGCAAATAAATAAAATATAAAGAAGAACAGAGTTATACTGTTTGCTTACATCTACATCGACAATATATTTGCTCATAGCCAAGTGTTCGGGGAATTTAGGATCCTTGAGCGCATTGAGCACGTGGAAATAAGGCTCAAAGTAGACGTCGCTTTCTATCAAGTTGTATCTGTCCCCACTGAAACAAATGTTCACTCCGGTCGTATGATCCACCAATGCTATCGGTATCTAAAATGTTAAAAATATTTCCATTTTAAAATAAAGGTTTAGTCACCGTGATTCATAAATAATTTAGATTGGTTAATTTCTTTGAAATACTTAATTTTTAATGTTTTAAGCCAACGAGCGAGCGGCCACCTGAGTATGCCTAAAAAGCGAAGCAACCGCTGCACATAGACATCCGCAATTGCAGATGCGTTGCCTACCTTTAAGCGAAAGAAGAGGGGACACATAGAAGGAAGATATATCCCCATCCTATCCGTCCCATAAGAAAATTATAAGAGGAAATGGGACCAAGATTAGGCCTCCGGCACGCATACTCATACGAAACGCGGAATTGCTTCCACTTCATGCCTGTCTTCTGTGAGGACGTGGTATTTCCCACATTCGTCGTATTAGTGCACCGGATTTTTTGTTGCTGGCGTCAACCACTATAAAATATAAGTAGCTTAAATTGTTCTAACTTTATTGTTGAGTTTTTATGTTAATAAGCTAATGACCATCAAACTTAAATGCCGCTCACTAAACTTACCTTTCCCTTTGACAAATATTTAACATCACGATCCAAAATTGTGCCAACTATAAAGGTTTTACAGTTATCTTTGGTGAACAGTACAAGCGAACCAAACATAAAACGTTTGCTATTTTTCCAATTGGTCTTTCGAAATCTTGCCATATCTTTTGAACTAACTCGCACGAGATAGCCTGATTGCAATTGGGAAAGGAATGGTTCCACAAACACCACGTTACGTAGAACTCTAAAACAAAAAGTTTATTTAAGTAGTGATGCAAGTTAAATCAAAAAATAAAGAAAAGTGGTCGACACAGCCGTTAAAGCGTATCAAGACAAGCACGACCTTCAGTTATGAAGAATACGAAGAAAAAGGTACTAACCGGATGTGATCGTATTTTTTCTTCATAGGCTCCTTTATGTGTTGATCTGGAAAACATGTATTAGCCTTACATTACAAGACCAGATGCTGTGACGATGTTTATGCAGATTGTAAACGTAAAAAGCCTTTAGAGTAGAAAAGAGTGGTTCAGAATGAGTATAAAGTTTGTAAAAATATTATAACGTGCGCAAATAAAATTAAACATTTGTTACTTATTCCTTCGCGAAGTGGTCCGAAACAATCTTCTCGCAGCAACCTGAATTGTACATCGAGATAATGTTCTTGGTCACGATACGCGCCGTCGACAATGTTAGGTCGCACGAACGGCCGCTGCTCTAACAGGTCCTTCTGACTCGGCACCACGCTTAGTTCTCGAAAGTTCTCCGGTGGATCTCCATCGTCAACCTCCAACTGATAGGATTTAGTTTTTTGTTCCACCTGTATAAACAAACTCGGTTAGATCCTAAATGTTGTATATATTTATCTTATATATACTGAACTGTAATAACATTAAAAAATCACTAGAAGAAATACCTCAACTTCTTTCTCCTGTATTGTTAATGAGCTACGTAGCTGAGTTAATTTCAATGCATATTCGTCGGGAAGTTGAAAATCATGTCGCTCGCTAAGACCGTCCAAACAAACTTTAGAAGATGCCTCGATCAGAGCCCTGCACGTGCGGAGCGCCGTCGACGGCGACACTGTCGTCACGCATTCGCAAAACTGTATAAAATTACTCCAAAAATCTCTTTGATTCTTCCAGTATAAGTTATTTGTGCGCTTTGGTGTGCCATATGGTAAATTCAATAAGTAGTTTTGCAAGTAAATCAAAAATTGGGAATTACATACTTCTACTATAAATTTCAGTCTAAGGTTATCGAACGATGTTTGGCAAGCTTTGGACAAGATCATCATTAAGAGTGGAAATACATCGGGTCGATCTATGGGCGAATTTATAAAATCCATAAAAGCTTCTCTTTTTACGCTGATTTTCATCAGTATATCCCCGCTGTCCGCATTAGCTAATTCTTCTAAAGTCTTGAATCCCATTTTTCTTTGGCGATTGATGGGATTACCACCATGGTTCCGATCGAAATGCTGTTGAATCGATCGGTTATTACTATTGTGAACGAAACCTGTAATGAATATAATACAAAGCATAAAGATTACTGTGACTTCTGATTATTAAAATTCCAAACATTCATTAGCTATTCCTTAGGTGCAAGGCAGAAATTTGTAACGGCAGAAATTTTTAAAAATTAAGTTTCTTAGCTACCCCGGTTTCTACTTTAATAGAGTAAGGTACATTAAGCATAAAGGATATTTCCCCTTTCTGCATGTTCAAAAAAATCCATCCTTAAAAAAGGACGGTAATGTAAAGAGAACTAAAATTAGGCATATGGCACGCACACTCATCAAACAAAACGCAGAGTTTTTTCCACTTCACGATTGTCTTCTGTGTGTGTGTCCACTCATGTAACACGTGTTTTGTTGTGGGCTATATCAGTATTAAATGGATTCTTAACCAATTGCATATTTACCTTGACTACGTCCGTCCTGTTTCTGTCCCAGTTTATTTCTGGGGAAATTATGTAGTAAGGGCGCTAATAATTTAGGCCGCATGGGGTCATTTTGAAAAGTATTAGTAGTATTCTCATTGCGTCTCTGCCCCGAATTCCAAGGTATTGAAGTTCCTGATAAGCAGCATAAATATTTTATTTTAATCAAAATCCTCACCGTCGTGTGATTTATATATTTTTTATTTAAAAAGTAAATTTACATTTACCTTGCCCGAGTCTTCTTTGCCGTCTATATGAAGGTTGGCCTTTTACGCGTATGGGGACTGAATCCGAAGATGTCGAAGGTCCTAATGATAAGAATAATTATTCTATTAATCAAACTTAAATGGTACATAACTATTGTAGTAGTCAGTCATGCGGTTGTCCATCTGAACAATGACAGAATCAGAGTCGGCGGGAAGATAGGTCGTGATTGGGCAACCGCCCAGAGTGCTGGACAGAAGTAATGGGCCTTTCAGATTTGGAAATCACACAATTGAATATCATTCTTCTAACATGATTTCAAAAGCATAGTGAAAAAAGGTACCCAGGGTGCTAGTAGAGCTAAAACCGTTACTGTTTAGAATTAACGACGGTCGGTTCTTTCTAAGTCAGACTGCTGTGCCCAGGGTTTGCCGAATCTTAAACTATAACTGCAGAAAGCAGGTAATGTGTTCGTAGAAAAATGACCTATTCAAAGCCAGCACATCTTTTAGAAATATGGCTTTGCTAGGCGGTCAAGTTCAACAGGAGTGTGAAAAACTACAAAAGGTTAGACTCTAATAAGAATAACAACAGTAGCTAATCAGACTACAAGAATGCCGTCAACTAAGCCAAATTGACTTCAGCTCATCGGATAGCCAGACGGATGGTAACATGTGAAATGGACGAACTAATAATGGAACCGTGGTTCCTGTCCTATTATCATGGAAGAAAGCTAGAAAATCACGACTGCGTAGCAGCGATATCACGATGAGTTTCAAAAGACCTAGCGTAGGACTGGGCCAGTTTCGAATACGTTACAATTTGCCATATGAAGAGGTTTTCCAAATGTGCCATTAATTCAATTAATCGATATGGTGAAGAGATGCACTAATTTCATGTCTAATCCAAAATATTTAAGCTTTAATGTAGTTTCCAATACAATACAATATTTATTGGTAATGTTTAAATTATAAGTCGAAGAGCGATTTGCAAGAACTGAAAAATTTAAAACAAAATAAGATACAGAGCCATCTCGACAAGCACTGATTTCAATCTATTTTTGAATGATGTGAGGCTGGGTGCCGCTGTGACGGGTCCCGCAGCCGGTTGTAGACTGCAGGCCCTATGACGTGCGTCGACTTCTCCGTCCTGGCTTAAACTGTCCGTACTTTGACTGTATTCAAAAATAATTCTGGATACCCATTTTTTTGTGACGTTTTGTCTTATAGGGGAAATGTGTTTAGTTTAAATTAATTATTTATTTATTTTTCAGTTGGTTCTTCAACAAAAGACCACATGTTCTTACTTTAATTTTAGGCGAAATTACTACAGGTTGAGTATAATAGTTTTATAGTCGTATAGTCTAATGTTGTCTTTCATTATCTATTCATCTTCAATAGTTAAAGTGAAACTATAAAGATTCTTACGTGCATTGTTGATTTCGTCCTCGTCCATTTTTATCTGAAAACAAAATTAGTTTTGTCAAAAGCAATAATTAAGAACTGTTTATTATTATTTTGGAGTGCTTCAAATTACTATCGTTAATTCATAAAATACCTATATTACAGTAAGACCGATATTAGATTGTTCATAATTGTTCCTTATTTTTTTAATTTTATGACCTGGTAACATAGACCTTTAGGTCATATAATTGTTCCTTATGCACGTACGGCAAAGAGTATAGTAAGTAGACTATAGAATTGAACACAACGTTAAAACTCATACAAAATGAATTCCATACTTCATAGGCGTCCATTACCATACTAATCAATCTTAAATAACTAAAGATATTTTTACCAAGTTTACATAAAAGTTTTATATATGTTGATAATTGTTTTGCTCATCTTCTCTTTTATGATTGCTTTTTAACATTTAAATACTCTTTAGCTAGTAACTGACTATAGTATACTTATCATACTCTTTGACTGACACTGACAGACTATTTAGTGTCGCTGACGTTTGTTTAAATAGTTTCAATTTTAACTTAGTTTTCGGTAATCTTTTTGTTTATTTAAACAATAAACATAAATTACTATAATTAATAAGCTTTCTGTATTAAACTAATTAATACATATACATACTATCTGTAATAGTTATAGTTTTTTATCGTGTTTAATTTGATCTAAGTTAAAAACTTCCATAATAAAGCTGTGTTTTATTATAGTTTATTAAATAAAAAGTTTTTAACAGTGGTAGAGCCCGCTTTAACATCTTCGCACGAATTGGTCCGGCTCGCCCGGTGAAATACCACAACCACACACAAGACAGGCGTCAAGTGGAAGCAATTCCGCCTTTCGTCTGATGAGTGTGCGTCCCGGAGGCCAAATTTAGTCCTCTTTCTCTTCTCACCGTTTTTCTTATAAGCAAACGATGGGAAGTGGAAATGGACTTTCCGGATGAGAGGATGCATGGAAAGGGAAAATGTTTTCTTTCTGTGCATCCTCTCCTCCGTCTATTAAAGGTAGGCAATGCATATGCAATTGCATATGTCTATAGGCAACGGTCACTTTGCTATTTTAGCGAATTCAGGTGGCCGCTTGCTCGTTTGCCACCTTATAATAAACAAAAAATAGTATTCTTATTTTTAAGTTTTATTATTAAATAAAGTATAGTCTTACTGTAAAATGGAAGTTTAATTTATTCTTTTCACATTGGTAAGATGCAATAAATCAATCAGATAGCAATTAAATGTCCACATAATGGTGACAGTCCTGAGAATGTTATTTAGACAATTTCAAAGAGTATTTTCTACGGCAGTGTTTGCTCCAAATATAATCGGTAGAGCCTTAGAGCTCCGCAAAGCCTTCTTGGGGACAATAAAAATAAATACTGATTGTAATATAGTAATAAAACCATTAATTGTGGTCAATATTATAAGACTTTTAAAGTGTCAGAGGATCTATCAAAAGTTTGGTATTATGTATATATAATAAAAAGTTAGATATGAACTAAATCAGGCCAAATAAAAGAATTAGAAATAAATTGGTGTCTTATTTTTTCAGTGCATAGAGACCTAGCATAATCATACCTACAATCTAGGATTTCATCATGCTTCTTAAAATGGTTCAGTAGTCAAGAAAGTTTCAGAACCGCTCTTCTAATTTTTGACCTTTACAAATAAGGTTATATAATGGAAGAGTGTCCTTCCATTGTTATCTAATTTATATGTAAAAGAAATTTGTTATATTTAAATTTCTTCCTATCCAGCACATTTTGACCCATGTAACAAAGAGTTGGGACAGACTGAAGTGGAAAAGATTGCTGGACCAAGCCAAGGCCCACTATGGGCTGTAGAGCTTGGGCTTCTTCTTCTTAGAATAAAGAGTTGCATCTCTAAAACACGTAACTTTTTGTGCTATGGGTTGATTAACAAATGTATTTGTCATTTCAGTGGTATTAAATATTGTATTTTTAAAGCAAGTCTTCATTGTGATACAGACTCAGTGCTTCTTTTGAGCTTTCACTTTAATTTAGTGCATCTACATTTTTTTTTATATCATAAGGTGGCAAACGAACGAGCGGCCACCTGAAATCGCTGAAGTAGCGAAGTGACCGTTGCCCATAGACATACGCAATTGCATATGCGTTGCCTACCTTTAATCGACGGAGGAGAGGATGCACAGAAAGAAAATATTTTCCTTTTCCATGCATCCTCTCATCCGGAAAGTCCACTTCCCATCCTTCCCTTATAAGAAAAGGGTGGGAAGGGAAAGAGGACTAAATTAGGCCTCCGGGACGCACACTCATCAGACGAAACGCGGAATTTCTTCCACTTCACGCCTGTTTTCTGTGTGGTGGTGGTATTACACCGGGCGAACCTGGCTAATTCGTGCGAAGATTTTAAAGCGGGTTCTACCACTCTTAAAATATAAATAGCCACTTACATACATAATATCGGAAAAAGTTCAAAGGCTTGTCCTAGTCCAAAATTCTTCTAAAAACAGTTTATACTTCTAAACATAATTAAAGTTACTTTAAATGAGATGTCAAAGGATGCAAGAACGAATTCAAAATATTTTTTTTGGATTATCTTTTGCTGTCAATAATAATAAAGCAATAATTTGCCTACTAAATTACGAAAGTCAAGCAGTTAAATAACGAAAAATCATCGTAGCATAAGACTATTGTACCTTCACTAAGTGCACTACTATAAAATTATAGCCAGAAAGGCAAAATATTAATATTATTTAAAACTCTTCTAAAAATGGAAATAATACTTTACCAGTTGGTGCCCACTTATCCAATGTAATTCTCCTTTTTCTTAATATGTGACAAAAACATTTAACTCGACCTACTCGAATAACTTCTACACTCGAATGCTATCGTCAACATATTTAGCTTCTACGTACTTTGGAACAAAGGTTGTTCTAGTGTTTTAATAATAACATTCAATTTTCCCCACCATCATGATGGAAGTTATCGTGATACTTTTAAATATAGTCAAATTAAAAGATATTATTTACCTATCAGCCTTTATTTATTTTACCCCACGTCAAAAATAAAATTCTTGATATAATATTTTGACACCAGCTTAATGTTTTGTACTGGCTTAAACTTTAAAACGTCATCGTGTAATACTATTTTGCTTTAATTTTCTATTGCGTTAGTAATAAGTGCTTTCATCGTTATTAATTTGCTTAAAACTAGTATAATTTTGTCACCTGTGAAAAAGAAATGTCTTTTAGCTTTAGATATTTGATCGTAAAATTCAACAGGAAAGAATAAATCAAAACTACATTTCGAGTTTTTAGAATTAAAATAATATAATTATATGCGATGATTAACCAAAATTTGGGGAAAAAAAAAGTCGTATCTTATGACAGCACTGAGAATTGTAACCGGGAATAACCTAAAATTGTGTATCAAAATACAACCATTACAGAGGTGTTGGTTGAAAAATTCCATAGTCTATGGCATGTTATTTGATGACGAATAAATGACGTGTGAGGTCAAAGAGTATATAATAGTGAGAAGCAAAGAGTATATAAAATGGTGAGATGTTTGAAGTTATTTTAAATAATATGCGTATTGAACCGATTTTTAAAATTAGTGTTTAATATTTTTGCTACTATCATTTTAAATTAAACGTAATATAATTCTACGCATAGTTCTCTCAGTAATATTATATTAAAATAGCTACATATACATATATTAAAATAGCTACATAGCGAATATGTATATTAGAATAGCTATGTAGCTATTTTAATATAATATTCTACCGACTTTTTTACATAGAACAGTCGGTAAAAGAACCGGTGTTACAATTAGAAATATACGAATTTTAAATAAAAACCAAGCACAATGCGGAGTTTTCGGCTACATTGCAAAATTATCCCAGCAATAATAACGAATTGACATTATCCATGTAACTTGTTTTTGTTATTCTGTCGCTGACTACTTTTACAACGTTAGACATAGACCGGCTATTTATGAGACCGACAAATATGTATATAACATTTTATATACTCTTTGGTATATAAGCCGATAAAATTATCTGACCCGCTGAGTATGAGTCAATCTATTTATGATAGCTCACTAGCGCCCTCCTGACAATGCTCAAAAAGGGTCCCAATTGATACTAATATTAATGTAGCTGTCTTGTCGTGTTTTTTGTTTTATGTAATTTACACCTGTGTCTATTTTGCATGTTTTTGACAGGTCTACCCGCCATAACAGCATCTTTCTTACCGTTCCAGATAAGCATGTCGCACTATAAGTCGGATTTGAAAAAGCATCTTACATGAATACCAACTGCAAACATTTAAACCCATTCCAAAAAAGTTATTAAGGTTAAATAAAACGAAGAATGCTTAGATATTTTTTATTACAGCGTAGTATAGCAGTACTGTTTATTCTGCTAAGTCCGATGGCCAAACGAGGCTCTCAATCCAGTCTAGGTACTTGTAGATTCTGGTATATACGCCGGGCACAACGGAGCCACATCCGCTGCCAAATGAAGTTACACCAACGATACGCAAATGGCCATCCTTACTTGTGAATCCTTGTAGAGGGCCGCCAGAATCACCCTGAATATTGCATAACTTTGTGAGAATAATTGTATATTGCGGAGATTTTACAAATGGAATTGAGATTTTTGTTTAATATAAAAACTAGCTGTCGCCCGCGACTCCATCCGTACGGAATTAAAAAATACATGATATGTAGCCATTGTTTTCTTCCAGGATATGTTCTATATGTATGCCAACTGTCATGGAAATCCGTTTACCCGTTCTGGAGATACCTCCAAAATAACATCCATACGGATGGATCGATATCTATCCATCTAAACATTGGCATTTATAACATTAGTAAGAAGAAAGATTGTCACTGTCACTTGATATCTTAATTGTTTACCGTTGGTTTCTGAGACTAAAATCTTTGTATAAAACATATCTTTATTCCAGTTTTTCATTGAAAGAAACAGAGATAACAATATAAAAATTATAACAGGAATTTTGGTCTCGCAAACCCAGTGTCAGTAATTTACAAAATAGATTTTTTTTAAAACATTTTAGTAGCCGGATGAAATATTCACATTTACCTGACAAGTGTCCATGACGCCATTCGGGTCTCCAGCACATATCTGACCGTCCAAGATGCCATTAGGCAATTTCCGTGACGTTGTGTACATAGCATTGCAACTTTCACGAGGCACTATTTGTAGCATAGCTTTTAGTAAAACCTTGCTCGTGCCTGCCTCTAAATTAAATAAAAAGAAATATAACACTAAGAATGTCTAGCAAATTACTCTTTTTATTAGTTTGTCAACACTTTCAAATCGATCGAGAGTTTTGCAAATTTGTTAAGTTCATAACTATCACCAGCCTAAAGTCTACTGCTGGACAATAGGCTTTCCCTAAAGCAGGCAACAGTACGCAGTTTCCATATTTCTTTTGACACTATTGAACATAACAAATATGTATAGCTGTCGCCCGCGACTCCGTTCGCGCGGAATAAAACGAAATAATTCGCTATGTGTTGTTCCAGACTGTGTTCTACATCTAAATCAAATTTGAGAGACCCTTGCAGCCGTTCTGGAGATACATTCAAACAAACATCCATCCATCCATCTAAACATTCGCATTTATAATAAATTATTAGTATGATAAAAACTCACTGCCCACAGTGGAATAAACTTGATACATTCGGACCAAGTTAAATATTTTTTCTCTAACCTAAGTTTCTCTATTACGGAGTTCGTTCTTCAGGACCGGACAATCCAGTTCTTATCAGTAAGATAAAAATTACAATTAAAATGAAAAAATGTATACAAAATACTTACTTGTTACATCCGTTTTTCCCCAGCCGGTAATGTATAGTGAAATGGTGGGTTCTGTCTCGGATGTGTACAGGCAGGCTGGGAATGCGTTGCGCGAAGTACGGATCGGAGTCACCAATCTAAACAAATCGCGTATTATCTTACAAAATTACAGTCATTTAATTGTCTGTAATTTCAAAGATTAGGCAAAAAATTAAATTTGATAATATTTGGGACAATAAAGCGAATAAGCGCACGATTGTTTATTTTAAGATCGCAGCTGCACCAATGGAAGAGATTGCTCATATAAATAGTCGCGCTAGTGGAAAAAGGGTCTAACACAGAATCGTAGATACCTGAGTAATGCCAAGTCATGATACTTTCTGGATCTCTTGTATTCTGGATGTACATGAACTATGTCTACTTCATAATCCGTGTCATCGTTCCACTTGGAGCCAGTTATATTCAGAATTCCAACTCGCACCATAGTTGGTTCTACCCTGAAACCGGATTTATTATTCCGCAACAATAACATGACTGGCATTGATGACGTCATTGCGATACACTAAATACTCAACGAAAATACACAGTACATGACAAAATTAGTGAGATTTTTGATGTAATTTATGTCTGACCTGCTATCGCCCGCGATCCGTCAGCGCGAAATTAAAAAACCTAATTAGTTTATTTACTTTAATTATTATTACAGCGAGATCCATGCAACCGTTCTGGAGATTCCTTCAAACAAACATCCACATCCATCTATGTAAACATTTGCATTTATAACAATTAGTAAGATAGTAAGATTATGGTACTACGCCTTCATATACAAAAAAATTATGAATATCGGACCACCAGGGGCCTAGTTGTAAAAAAAAATATACAGACGAATTGAGAGCCTCCTCCTTTTTGAACTCGGTTAATAAAGAGAGATATAATGCTCACCGCTCTATAGTGTGAACGCAATGAACTGCCGTCAATACATATTGAGTTGTTATCAAAGAACCACCGCAAAAGAAGGAATACTCCCCCGAAATAAGGTACCCTAACGCCACCTGGAAGAGACGCGACATTTTTAGTTAAAAAAAAACTTTATACATTAATGCCCCGTTTCCATCAGGCCAGACATACAACTGGCCTATTGTAGACACCCACTGAAGCCAGTAAGCCAACTTGACCGATAACTGGGATAGCGTTTTACTTTTCAGGCCAGTTCCACCATTTCGCAACTGGCATAATGTATAATAGTATGTAACTTCTATAGCCAACTAGCTTTTACACGCGGCTTCGTCCTCTCAGAATTTAAAATAGTAATAAATACATCCTATGTTACTCGGTGTTAATGTACCTTTAATCTGAAAGTATTTTTGAAATCTGTCCAGTAGTTTTTTTTAGTTTATATTTCTTACAGACAAAAATACCTCCTAAAAATATTTACCATATTCGGAAATTCTCCTGCCTCTGCAGTTACGCCGCCGATAATGTACATTCCAGAAGGTGGGTTGTAGGTTTTAGCTATTTTTTTACAAGCTGAAATGAATTGTATAAAATGTAACCTGTTAATAAGCAATAGACGAAGGTTTTAAAAGTATTGAGTTATTACTTTCAGACACGTGTGGCATCTTTAAAATTTGTGCTTATTTATTGTCTACGTAACTGTACCGTTTACTGATTTGAAAGGCATTTTATCAAGTACTAAAAGTATAAGAATAACCGTTCCGTCATCCCTGTCATTCTTTTTGACATGTTTGAGATATCAATATTTTTAATCAGAGATTTTGGTCTCAGAAACTCATGGTAAGTAACACTTACCTTGTTCAGCGGGTCTTAATTTTTTAACACCAACTGAAAACAAAAATATGCAGCTTGTGAAATAAGCATGACATTTGTATTCACGAATGATAGCACATTTAATTAATTTTTTAAGCTCGTCTCGACAAGGAAAACACCAAGACCACACAGTAGACGGGCGTGAAGTGGAAGCATTTCCAGTCTAGTGTTGCGTGTCGGCGGCCTAAATTTAGTCCTTTTTAGTTTTTTCTTCTTATGGGATTTAAGAAGAGGCGCATAGAAAGGTGACTGAGGAGGGGACTCTTAGCGTTCGTCCCCTCTGTCGATTAAAGGAAGGAAACAAATCTGTAATCCACAATCGTAATGTATGTGGACAGAAGTTGCTTTGCTTTTACTCTTAAAAAGGGGTTTACTCACTTCTTGAAGAAAATGTTTTCGGGATATCTGAAAAAATCAAATTTATTTCTTAGTATTAAAAATATGTGTGGAAGTTAACAATATTTTACATATAAATAAGTGGGATCATATCCTTGCAAATGTTCCCTAAAGAGGTTTTTGACGGCATATTTGAATTTCATACAATCCAATCTCATTTTTGGTGTAAAAAAAAGTATATTGTCAGTACTATAGCTATAGATTGAATGAGAATGCGTCGGTATACGCACGAAAGACACACTTGTACTTAGATTTGTAACCGTAGGTTTCTGACACCAAAATCTCTGTCTAAAACCTATCACCCTTGTTAGTATACGTTTTAAACGGAGATTTTAGTGTCAGAAACTCACGGGAATAGTCTTAAGTACAAACTTACTGTTTTTAGCTGGTTCAAAAGGACAACAAACGATTTCTGCATCATTCTTGAAGCCGCATCTCGGCAGGTGATGACGTTGAGATACTCGGATGTCTCTAAAAATATTTACATTATCTTATTAATATTATAAATGTTTAGATGGATGAATCGATGTTTGTTTGGAGGTATCTTCGGCTGTACGGATCTCGATGAAATTTTGCATATTTGTAGAACATAGTTTGGAAGAGCACATAGGCTACGAATTGTTTAACACCGCGCGAACGGAGTCGCGGGCGACAGCTAGTTATAGATAAGAATTAATGTATGTTCAGGTAATACTAAAATACTGTCCAGAAAAACTTTCGCTCTTTATTCTAGATACAAAACTGTTTTTTTTATAAAATGTTGACCTTTGTGCTTTGGTACATATCACTCATATGCTGTTTTTTTAATTTTTTAGATGGAACTGATACGGTGTACAAAATTGTTTTCATTACTAAAACACTTTAATTTCGTAGACGCTCGCTAACTAACCTTAAGGCAGCGACACAATTAGTTATTAACATACAGCTTCCTTGTTGATCATTGACTGTACACGGGTCGCCAACTGGAAAATTATATGTTAAATATAATATAAATGTATGACCAGTTTAAAACTTAAATCAGCTGAAGATGGGCCTTCCTCAGTATGAATCTTCCATCTTATATGTCGTTTATGAAAATAATGCATAATAATAGTGTAGGTACACTATAAATTTTCATTGGCAAGAACTGCGACACTCATTATGCACTTAATAAAGAAGACCCTTAGTTACTGAGGTAGGCCCATAGTTACTAAGGGGCTATCTCAGTACCCCAGTAGGGCCTAAGGGTGGCTTATTGTTACTAAGGGAAGCCTGGTGATCCGTATTTATTAAGGGACATCTGTAGTTACAAAAGGAGACCCGTTACTAAAGAGGCCCCTTAGTGACCACTACTTATTTCGTTTTAGACAAATAGGATTTGCTTTGAAATAGAGTCTAGAGTATTAGGTTTATTATTTAAGGATATTTGATACCATTTTTAGGGTTCTTAATTTAATTGTTTATGTTTTATTTTAATACAAATATCAGACGAGAGAATATTAATAAGTAACGTCGATAAACTTTAAGGTTATGTTATCAATTTGATTACGTGCATGTTCATCTCTGTATGAACAAAACAAGGTCAGAAAAAATACAAATCCGAGAAAACTATATAAAGGTATAAATAATTTACATATTAATTTAAATTATTATTTATACAAAACAAAAGAAATACATTTTAATAACGATATATTCGTAACATAATGTTGGTTTTTTGTACTTAATAAAAAACATAAAATAAACTAAAACTCACCATCGTCAGCATTATTTAATTTTAAAATTAAACTGAAAATTAATAATTTGTATAACATTTTAATTGTCACTTCAAGTTCGCGAACATACACGCGCACTAGTTGTTCGAACAAAAAATACTTTTAGAGTTATTTTATTAACATTATAGATTAAATAATAAACGACCATTTAGTACATCATCTGCACGATTTGTCTGTTGCGAAGGCAATGCTTTTGCATGTATACGCGTCTCTTATCTTTTAATACCAAAACGGGAAAAAACGTTGCGTATATATTCGCAATTCCTTCGGGGTTTTTCCTGGTTATTTTGTGTCTTCATATCGTCCAGTTATACCAATTGATATGATGAAATAATTTACAACACTGTACATTAATTGTAATTTATACCAGTTTCTCAAATTGGACGTTACATCTTATGACGATTGATTTTCCAGTATATTTGGGCGACACTAAAAAAAAACTCGAAGGACTGGGAAGGTGGGTTTGATATGGTAATGAAAAACCTGATCATCAAACATATATTTTTTTTTTTAGTGCCACTAAGAAAAACTATGGTGAGTATTTCTCTCTACGTCAGTTGATGGTAAATAAATGTGGTAATTTTTTTTTATAAAACTTATAAAAACATTTATTATATTAATATTAAACATATACTATTAGTTAAACTTTACAAATATATATCACGTACCGTAGTAATAAATTTCCAATTTTGGGAGGAGTATGAATTGAACTTCGTAGAGCGTTGTCTCTGTCACACAACCTACAATATATGGCTTTTAGTGCTTTGTGCGAAAGAAATAACATTCTGCGGAGTCAAAAGTAAAAATTTCACTAATTTTGTATGGTCGTTGTGGTAAATTCATTAAAAGCGCGTAAATTTATGTATTCTTATTATGAATATAGAGTGATAAGCAAAATGGCACAATTATTAAAAAAAAAAGGATTTTATCATTAGATTTTTTTCTTACTTTTGGTTTTCCCGCGCATATTATAATTACAACGCTGGCCTAGTACGGGTCGACTTCACATATATCATTGAATTTCTTTGCAGATATGTGCAGGTTAAACCACGATGATTTCCTTTACCGTAAGAATTTCGGATAAATGTATAAATTGTCAAGGATATTTGTCCTGGTGGGCATAAGTGAAACTAAATTACGATAGCTCACTATCACCCGTAAAATTACTTTCGTAAGATCCGTTTCATACTGTAGCTAAGTTTTTTTTACAATTTTCTATGGCCATGTAGGTTTTACATATTTTTTGACAGAATTAAACCCGACAGCAGCACTTCTTATCGCCTAAGGTATTCTTGTTTGACTATAAACATAAATTATTGGCACAGGACGAGTTTCCGAGACGCCGTGGGAGTTTTTTTTTAAATAATAACTTTTTCGGACAACTTTGTTATAAAATTAGAAGATTTTCTATAGACACTACAGCTATAAATGCTAAATAACCACAGAAAGAGTCGTTCACACTTAAAAACTAGTGACGGGCTACAAAGTCTTGTTTTACTCTGATATGAAATGTTGGCAACACTAATTAGTTCTGTCAAAAAATCTGTCAAATCATAAAATATATTTGTTCTCAGTGAAACTTTTTGATATAAATTCGACTTTTAAGATTTTCTTACTACGTATCATATTAACATTGTATAAAGAATACATATTCGTGTGACAAAATTGGGCTAATTCACATATTTGTCATAACTAGTGTTACATTTACATATAAACAGTTTTGTTAATTTTGTATTATTCTTATAACGCTACTTTAACGATAAATCAGAAAAAATTATATAAATTAACTTAATTTGATATTATTTTCTATCTATCGAGAACAGATTATTACATCTCACTGGTAAGTCAGAGTGTAAAGTCTAATACCAACATAACATCATATTGTATACATAATGTATAATCCCAGAAGCATCTTATGACAGTTTTGTGACACTGACAGAGCGCTTGCAACTTTTAAGGGTGTGCCAAAATTTCCTATCCTTTTCCGAAAGTCGTCCATGTCATGTTGGTATTAGTATACTTCGTGTTATGTTGGTATTAGTGACGACTTTTCATGTTGTGTGGATTAATTGTATCAGTGACGACTCTTTGTGTCATGTTGGTATCAGTGAGTGCAGTCTATGTTATGTTGGCATTAGTTTTGTGGCCACACGACGCTCTCTATCCAGTCGAGGTAGAGCGAGAGTCGCGTGTAGACGCCGGGCACGGGGGAGCCGCAGCCGCGACCGAATGACGTCACACCCACAACGCGATAATGCCCGTCCGCCTCGGTCAGCGCTTGCAGCGGCCCACCGGAGTCACCCTGATAACATAGCCAACAAACATCTTATATAACCATAAAATGTTTTCAATTAAGACATAAATTCCCTAACAATAGATTACTTTAAAAATTCTGCATATTATCTGACATACCAAACGAGATAACTGCCTCTCTTACTAGACTAGATAAGTTTTACAACAGTATACAATTTTAGATGACTAACCGTGAGTTTCTGAGACTAAATTCTCTGTTTGTAATTTATTGTTATATTTGTTTTGTCAAAGATAATGACAGGGATAACGATATGTTTTATACAGATAGCGGTCGCCCGCGACTTCTTCTGCACGGTATTAAAAAATATATAATAAGCAGCCTATTTGTTCTTGCAGACTATGTTCTATATGTCTGCCAAATTTAATCGAGATCCGTTCAGCTGTTTTGGATATACCTTCAAACAAAAATCTATTCATCTAAACATTTGCATTAGTAAGAGGTAAAATTTTGGTCTCAGAAACCAATGGTTAGTGCGGATGGCGGAAAGTCTTGGATGCGGAAGATGAGACCGCATTCTGTTGAAGACATTGGGGAAGGTAGGCCAGCAGTGGACAAAGTCTGATGATGATACTAGTGTACCTGGCAGGTGTCGCGGAGTCCCTGCGGGTCGCCAGCACACAGCTGCTCTTCAGCGATGCCGTTGGGCAATTTTCGCCACATTGAATAGTCTTCATTGCATTTTTCCCTTACAACGATTGTAACCTTCGCTTTTAACAACATGTTGCTGCGGACGTTTCCTGCAATTTTATCATTGAAACTAACCATCATAAAGATTATTCGATTCTTATTTATAAGTAGTGTTATAAACATGTTTATGTATTATATTTTTAGACATTATTAATTAGAATCCTTTGTCGCGAATGGCGCGCTTTCATTAGCAAGTCAAGTGAAATGATTAGTGAGGGGACATAAACCCACATTTTAGTAAGGCTAGTGTTGCGCCAGTACACCGGCATAGTGTCGGATTTTCTTTGCTAACAGTATAGAGTATTGAATGCAAAAAGAATATAGTGTCCATGCACAGAGTAATGTTTTTAAAATTTAACTAGCTGCCGCCAGCGACTTCAGATGTACGGGATTAAAAAATAGATAATAGCCGATTCTCCTACTAGACCTACTAAATATGCAAATGTCATAAAAATTTGTGAAGCCGAGAATTTTATACATGAGATGTTAAGAGTGTCTGTTTGTCAAATATGTTTGCGACTCGGTTTGTTCATAATGAAAACGTTTGACGAATGTCACATTAATTAGGAAGACAAAAAAAAATTGATTTGTAAACTGACTCGTGGTGCTGGTTTTGCCCCAGCCGGTGATGGTGAGAGGCACGGTGGGGTCCTGCTGGCTGGTGTACAGGCAAGCCGGGCTCAGTATGCTCGAGAATTCCACACGTTTCGATAACCTACAAACAAAATCGAACGTTATAAACAAATATGTATATACTTTTGTCGGAGTTCATAAAAATATTTCATTTATATACACCTTTTTTTCATATATTGCATTTCGTCACTATCTACTGGTCAAACACAAAATCATACTAATATTATAAATTCGAAACTTTAGATGGATGGATGTATGTGAGAAGATATCTCCAGAACGGCTAAAAGAATTTCGCGGAAATTGGACATAGACGTAGAAAATAGCCTGGAAGAACACATAAGCTAAAATATTTTCTTTTAAACGGAGTCGCGGGAAAAAGTTACTAATAAAATGTCTGGCAGCGGTCAAGTACCTTTTGAAGGCACTTAATGACGTGTGGGCAATGCAAAAAAACTTATCATTCAGAGTTTTTGCCGACCAAAAGACTGGTATACTAATGTATTTTGTGACAGTAGAATCAAAGTGAAATGACCAAAGTTTAAGTATTAGTTGTCATATAATTTATATTAATTTAACGGTAAAACGTGTCTACCATTTTGTTTTAATAATAATAAAACTTTATTGTACAGTTAACAGATCTCATTCATTATAATATAAACTTGCCTCTTTATTAAAGGAGCCAATGACTTCCCTTACTATGTTAAAGTACATTTGTAATTTTTTTATAAGTTGAATAAAATTTTTAAAATGTAAAGGACTAAGCAATAGTAATCGTAAATAAAAAAAGCAAAAGTACACCATTATTTTAAAAAAAAAATTAAGTGAACCAATTTGTATGCATGTGTGTATATGTGTGTGTGTGTTTGTGTGAACAAAACGGAGCTTACCTTATGAGTGATAGATCGTGGTATTTGAACCGCCTGGTGTAATTGGGATGCACAATAATCTCCGCGATGTCGACATCTGTCTCGTTGTTCCGAGCAGCATTGCCCAGTTCAACAACACCAAGCCTTGCTATTGCAGGTTTTATTCTGGAAAAAACAAGTTTTAAATCTTACTATCTTACTAATATATAAACAAATGTTTAGATGGATGTTTGTTTGAAGGTATCTCCAGAACCGCTAAACGGATTTCTATGAAGAACAAGAAAGGCTTCTAATTAAGGTTTTTTAAATCCGCGCGGACAGAATCGCGGGCGACAGCTAGTCAATGATATCGCTGTGGATTTTAGTAAAGTAGAATTTTATTTTAGTAAAATCTTCTGGTTCAGTATTTTTGATGTTAAATGGGGCACTTTGGCAATTAAATTTGTATGCCATGACTCGTGACGCAAAAGACGTGACGTTATCTTATATTAACACCTATTTTCCTTATACACAAGTACACAATTTAAGGTAGAGCGGGGTCTTGCGGGATGCGGGGAGGGTGCTGCGCGATGTGCCGATGACCTTGAGCTGCCAAAACATTTGAACAAAACTATACCGAGTTCTCGTGTTTGTGTCCTGGGTTACGCTAGCATTTGTTAACGTTAACACATTACGTGTCGCAATATTTACAATATTTTCTCGCATATATACATTCGACTCGGTAGGTGATTCGGCGGCAGTAAGCGTGTTATGCACCACAATGTATATACTTACTGGTCTATGGTATCTACGCAGTGAGCTGCAGTCAACACAAATGAATCTGATAACAATGTCGCACCACACATGAAGTTGTACCCATCGCCTTCAGGGTAGCCCAACGCAACCTGGAATTGACATTGCAATTTTATTGAATATATTTATAGTAAGATGCCACTTCTAGTATAAGCAACATTACATCCGTATTACATACTAATCATGTTTTTTTTCGTCACTTAGTTTTTAAATCGCTAATACGTCCCTACGAATCTCATACCTATGATATTACAGTATCATTATGTAATTTACACTGCACTCTACGTTTATATAAATAAGTTCGAAATACATTTTCCAACACTAGGATAACCTTTGACATTTCAATAATCTTGGTTTTATAGTAACACCTAATAATATTATGTTTCATAAACGTTATAATAATATATGACAAAACTTTACCAAGAATTACAAACCGCATTTGCTTTAGTGAATATTTTAAGATAAACATATGTAGAGTAACAAGAGGAATATGTCATGGATAAATTTAGAGATTTATGCGATCGTTTACTTCGTAGAGATATTTTCCGTTATGAGTATAATAAAGACGTTTTTATTTTATATTGAAATAAGCCAAGCCTATTTATTATTACATATCTATTAGATACTTTAAATTAGTTTCAAAACTACTAGTTTTGTTAAAATAATATAATGTTTTTCTTCTAAAAGTATTGTTTTCTTAGATAGTGTTAGGAAGAAAACCGGACACTGTGCCGGTGTACCGACGGTACACTGGCCTTACTAAAAGTCGACGTTTATGTCCCTTCACAATTAATTCTGACACTTGACTTTGTAATGAAAGCGCGCTATTCGCGCCAAAGAATTCTAATTAATAATGTTTAAAATAGCCAAATTAATTTTGTCGTATGTTTTTAATTAAATTAATAACTAAACTAACTAAAAATAAATAAACGACCAACTGACCAAAAAAATTATGAAAAAATTTAAAACTTACCATATGAGGGAATTCCCCTACTGATGCCGCATCCCCTCCAATGATATGCAAATCCAATGGTGGGATGACAACATCTGTTATTTTCTTGCATTCTGTAGTAAAAAAAAAATTAACTAAATTACACTTAACGCTTTTATGTTAGACTATTAACACTATTATTTTATCTTCGATTCGATACTTTAGAACAATTGAATACCGGCGTAACCTTAATTCAGGGTGATAACGTAATATTACATGGTAATACATTTAGAATATAACCTACAAATTAAAGAGAAAACGGATAAAATACGATAAGGTGTTGAAGTTTGCATTGAATCTAAGATATTTATGTTGAAACCTATCAAAAGTCAGTACCGATAGGTCTATCTGGCCATACTTATGTAGATGAGATTGGCAACAGACAATAAAAAATCAACCTGTCAGACCTGATAACCTCCACGAGCATAGAAATGTCATAAAAGAATAAACATGAAATGACATCGGCAATATCAAAAGTATCTTGTGACACTTTTTGGACATTGAAGGGAGGGCGTTAGTGAGCTGTCATAACTTAGTTCGACTTACATATGAAGTATACTGGCTAGATATCTATGCTTTACTTTATTAATAGACGGGTTTACGTATAAATAGACGGGCCAATACAAACAAAACTGTAATACACAACTTTTTTGTTATGAATAAACTAGTGCTTGACCTCGATCACCCCAGAAAAAACAAACGTTAAGTGGACATATGCTCGAAAGATGATAGATGATTTACGAAGTGCCTATTAACTCTACGCTTGAAATCACCCACGTCATACTTTGCAGGAAGCAGTAATGCCATAACTTGTTCCACTAAGTAACAAATCTTGTGTCTGACGTTTGAGATATTGATGATAATTTAAAATTTATTGGATATTAGACGCAAAAATGTAATACAATTTTTGGGTAATTCTGATACAATACTTGATCAAATACTTAAGAAATATTGTAGGTAATAAATTTTTCAACCGGTCGTGCATAGCTTAGCGTTTTGGAATAAACGCTTTAAAAAATAACAAAGCGGACTATAACATGTTTTTCGAGTTTTCGAAGCAAGCAAAGCTGTTCAAGATTTAATTTTAAGCGTAAAATACACAAAAGGTTATGGAAGCTAGTTTTGAATATAATGATCTTGAATTAAATATCAATAGTATTCTTAAAAATCAATTAATATTGTAATATTTTTAGGCAGAAGGAAAAAGTGTGAACACCATATTCTCATATGTAGGTACTTTAAAAAATTGTATGACGGAATTCTGTTGGTAAAAACCCGCATGCAAATAACTTCGCGGGACTCGTTGCGCTGAACCCAATTTTTTGTGTAGCGAGGCATAACGGGATGCAGGAGAAAGGCACTGCCCAGCGGTGCGATGACTAGGCCGCCGAGATATTTGACATTTGTAATTACCTCTATTATTTATTGAAGCTTTAAAACTAAACGAAATATATGAATACAGATAAATGTAAAACCACAATTTAATAATTAATCAAAATGCGAAAAGAATGTTAAGAAAAATAAATAAATGTACTTACCTATATCTGCAACCCTTACATTTTTCCGAGTAGTTTCTCCTAAAACAAACAAAACTCTATCACTTCTTGTATATTACATATATGTATATATAATTTTACGAAAGCTTACAGCTTAATAAAAAGGAAACACCTAAAAAGGAGAGTACCTAATGCTATTATTTATTGACTCCGACCGCGCGGAATTAAAAAAAAAATAGCCGTGTGTTCAGACTATGATGTAAATCTACGAAAAATTTCATCGAGATCCGTGAACCCGTTCTGGAGATACCTTCTAATCTATCGATCCATCAATCCATACATCCGAACATTCGCATTTATAAATAACAAGTAAGATAACATATGTAACTAAGTTACGTTGCTTTATTATATTGACGTATTTGCGAAAAAAAACAATAAGCGCACGAAATATAGAATATTGTAAATTGAGTTACATTATATATTTTGGGCAATTGGTGTTAACTCTACGGATATCAAATGCATTAAAATACAGACGAAGAGGATATATTGCAGCATTTATATAAAATGTGACGCAACGCGTGAGAGTAATTTTTTATTAAGTCAAATGTATGATCGTCATAACACACGTAATTAACAACATGTGAACGGGAAACACGGCAAAGTCATCTTTTATTTCCAATACGCATCGTAGGGATTTCCTTTGATTTTACCGGTTATTGTCAACACAGTTTAAAACCGGAAAAAACATACGTCATGTATAATGCGACAAGCTTGCCTGACCCGGTAAGAGGCGTTGCTTTTACGGTATTTACGTCAGAGAACATGGCATAGAAAGTGACAAAAAGATCTTAAATAGTATAAGTTGCCTAAATCGCGGACCTTTGCAAGAAGATGGCATTATAAGTATAAGAATCTTGTGAAACTTTTTTGATATTGAAATGGGTCTGCTAAAGAGCTATCATAATTAAGTTTGATTTATACCCACTGGGTAAGAAAACTTTTTAGGTCTATACATAATACAGGCACATATGTATTGTATACTGGCTGTCGCAACTCCATCCATGCGGAATTAAAACAAAACTTAATAATCTAACTGTTCTTTCAGACTATGTTCTACATGTGTGCGGAATTTCATTAAAATCTGTTTAGCCATAGAGTTACATTCAAACATCCATCCATCTAAACATTCCCATTTATAATATTAGTAAGATAAAATGAAGGTAAATTGGTTTTACTATGTATAATAATAACAAAAACATTAAAAATATGAAAAAGAAATAATTAGGTATAATGAAAATAGTCATACAATGAACTTCATCATGTTGAAACTTCAGAAAACAATGCTAATGGTACTTACCATATCTATCAACAGGCTTTTGTGGACAACATACAATTTCTGTAATATCTTTGAACCCACATCTCTTGTATTTGTGATAATTCCTATTCCGAATATCACTGTAACAAAATAAGTATTGGCTAAAGCTAAAAGATTTACTTGAAATTCAAAAAGACATATGAGGAATACGACAACATTTACACAAGATTAATATCATAATGTAATAATTCAAGTAGTTTCCGAAATTACACTGTTGCATTCTTATTTATATTATGTTAAAATTGTTCTTATAGATTGTAACAAAAAATTATGTGCCAGATATGACAGAGGATAAAAATATGTCTTTAAAAAGTCTAATTTGAAAATAAATTTAAACCTTAAATTTCCTCTTTAAATACTTACTTTAAGGCGACAGCACAATCTGTTATCAGTATGCACATTCCATCCTCATCATCATTTGTTAAACATTTATCACCTACTGAAATTTCACAATTATTACATTATTAATATAGGATCACTTTCCGAAAATAAAAAAAATAAAAATACTTACCATCACCAGCAGCTATACAAAAACTAAATATTATACTGAATAAAACTAAACTATATAATTTGAACATCTTTACAGAACACACTATTTACTTTATCTTTTATGTTATGTTATCCACAGTTCAAATCAGACTAATAACTGCTAGCTCGTCTGCAAATAGTGATGTAAAACCGGTCTGCACTTTTGCCTCACTTGATCTTTCCTCACAATAAAATTAATGTTTTATTAAATACTGGTTTATGTAAAATATACTTATTATAAGTTTTAATTTAAACTTATAGCTAATAAAATAAAATTGCAGACGAGTAGAATTGCACTCAAACTAAACAATTATTTTAAAATACATTATGTACGCACTTTATCCTTAAATACTGAAGACGAAAAACGAAAATTTATCATAGTCATTAATACGATTTTGTTTTGAATTGTGACATTGACAATGACAATGACAAATGATGAGAAGTGTGTAGTCAAATAGCACAGACTGATAAAATATTCTAAAAATCACAAATAATAAATTCAAATTAAAGAAATGTTAATAAACGTGATTAGGTTCTATAAATGTCAATTCCATTAGTTTAAAAAAAAATGCAATCTATGGTAAGCCGTACATACTCTTTGGATTTATGCTTATATTTCCTTCCATGGAAATAGCTCCTCTGTGTTTCCTTCACAATTTCTGACAACTTCACATTTCACAACAGTTCGGTTCGGTCCGTTTCGTGTGTGTTGTAGCTGCGGAAAAGAATTTATTACTTTAAAGTATTTGTAATCACTATGAAGTGTAAAAAAATAACGATTTATCATTACATGAACGAATAGAATTTTGTTAAACCCAAACATTATTTAAAAACGCTTAAACAATGCAGAAAAGTTTACTTCGGTGATCAGTGTGATAAGTTATGAGCTGATTGTAATGAACGAGACATAAACAAGGACATTATAGTGTTGAATAAAATTGTGTTATAATTCAAAATGACCTCTCCTGGCTCAACGAATGCTCGACTAGCAATGCATTCGCCAGTAACTAGTCAGGTAGGTCCTGAATTTGCAATGGCAGCTGTGTCGCCTCCTCAAAATTTCGCTGTACATGCGTCCGCGCATGGTACTGGAAATTGTACTGATTCCTCTTCGGATTCTCGTTCACCAGAAATGCCATTGGCAAAGGCGAGCGACCGGGAATCGCGTATAATAGCAGAGAAACACCGCAGAAGCCAATATAAAGCAGAAATTGAGTCTATTCATTCTCTTCTCAATGATATCATACCTACACAAAGAAAATTAGACAAAACCAGCATTCTTAGATTAGCAGCTGACAAGCTTCGAAATGAACATGTTTTTGGGGACACTATTAAATGTGATCACCTTGAAACATGGTCTTCAGCTGTTATGAAGTATTTTGATCTCTTTGGTGGCTTTATGATTGCTGTAACTTGCCGTGGTCGAATCTTTATAGTTTCTCCTAATATTCAAGAGAAACTGGGATATTGTCATATAGACTTATTAGGACAAGACATTTACAAGTATGTACACAATGAGGACAAGGATATCTTGAGATTCCACATATATCCGCCAGAACTGCAATCTGGGTTTGATGATAATTTACTGAAACAGCATCACAATTTTAAAATTCGATTCTTGAGAGCAGGAGCCAAGTCTGACCTGCCAAGATATGAACAGTGCCATATTAATGGTACACACAGACGTTCAGACAAAGCAACAGCTAATGGAGTTCAAGATAAACAAATAATCAGAAGGCAGAGAGTTAGGCATAATCGCACATTTTCCTCCAGCGGAAATGATTTTGTATTTATTGGAATGGTACATGTACTTTCCAATGTGAGGCCAGTATGTTTGGTATCACCTACTGCATATTCTGAGTACAAGACCAGGCATTTGATTGATGGTCGCATTGTGGAATGTGATCAAAGTATATCTCTTGCCGCTGGTTACATGACAGAAGAGGTAACAGGCACATCTGCTTTTATCTTTATGCATAAAGATGATGTGCGTTGGGTGATATGTGTCCTACGACAAATGTATGATCAAAGCAGGGAATACGGCGAGTCCTATTACAGACTCATTACTCGTTCAGGTCATTTCATTTATATGAGAACACGAGGATTTTTAGAAATAGATCCAAATACTAAAAAGGTGCAAAGTTTTGTTTGTATCAATAGAGTCATCAGCCAAGAATATGGGCGGAAGATGATGGAGGAAATGAAGAGAAAATATTCTGTTATTGTTGATATGGAGAATCAGAGTGAGAGAGTGTCATGTGTTGATGAGGCCCCTGTGGAACACCCAAAGCACTTGGAGCGCATTGTAATGCATCTTGTGGAGCCCCCGGCCAGTGAGAATATTGATGAATTAAAATTAGTTCCACCTTCAAAAGAGAATATCATATCTGCTATTAAAAATAGTGAGAAGGTCGTCCAGGAGACCGGTATAAGGTTTGATACAAGAAAAAGAAAAAAATCTGATCCTGATGATTTGGAAGTACTGAAAAGACACAGTTAATTTTATTGTATAAAGTTTACACTAAGTTTATGTTGTAATTTGTGTATCTTAAACTATATGAAATAGGAAAGACAATGGGTGTTGCATGTTGTGTTCTTATATGTGTCCTTTTTTGAACTATGTATTGGCAACTACAAAGTATGTGCTGCACATTATCATTGGTTTGTACAACATTAATGCAAAAACATGTTGTCTCAGTTTTTTGAAAGCATATGAGAGGGACAATTTGTTTTTATATGAATGCTTTAGACCAACAATTATAATGTACTCTAATTTTAGCTAGGTTACATATTTTATAGGATGTTGAATGAATTATTAAATGTATGTGCAATTCTCAGCAATTATTTTATGTGGTGTTATTCCCTAGCACATGTGAGGGTCCATTTTTCTAATTCAACTTTGTATTGTACAATTTATAGAAACACAGATGTCATAAAATGTACAAACCACTTTATCCATCCTTTGATGATTATAATTATGAGGATGTGTAGTGTTTTTTGCCAGAATGGAATGTAAGTCTGAAAACTGTGGTATTTTTTTTTAAAGTAATTTACATAATACTGACTTAAAGAGTATTTTTCTACTGTAGATTGTGTAAAATAAATTCACAATAAAAATGACCAGTTGCAAGGTTATTAAATGTTTTTCGAAGTCAGTTATTCAGGGGATATTAATAAATTGCTAGCAGCATACAGATTCTTGTTATTGCCTTATTTCTGCTTATAACTGGTTTTAGCCTAAGGGCTTTGCTTGAATTAATTAAATACATTTTAATTTTATATTTTTTAATTGATATCCAACTAACACAAAATAAACAGACTGTTCATTTAATAGCTAATGTTGAGCCATATGGCAACAAACTTTAAAAAATCTAATAATGTTTTGGTAAAGATGGTATCAATTTCTCATTATTGAATGATGACTACAAAATTATTTTATTATAATGTCCAGATAATATTTTATAGGCAAACCTTAATGCCAGATTAAAATCCTTTAGGTGAATGACCAAGACTCCACAATCTTTTTTATATTGCCATCTTTTTATGGCAATTAATACATCAACTGCATTAGTTGCCTGTTGGTCATCTGCAAGCTTATTTCCAGTTCAAATTTCTCCTGCATCTTCAATAGCTGAAAATTAAATATATAAACTATGTTACATCCAGTTGCAGTCAGTGGCATTAATGCTTAAGAACTTAATCTTCATTTGTTTAAATATTATGTACCCAACACAGTAGCAGGCTTTTATGAAACGGTACAGCATACAGAAAATACAATTAAGGTAAAAAAAGGATGTAAGTTGATATAAAATAGACTTCATTTAAGTTTTATTCTATCTATATTTGAAAAATGTATGAATAAAAGGTAATCAATAGTCTTAAAAAATCACATTAACAATTTATTAGTATCTCTTGGTCAAACTTTCTACTTATATTAAAAAAGTATCTTACAACTTCACTATTATATCTTACAAAGAATAGGTGTATGTGTTTAATCAGAAAATTGTTGATCCCAGCCAATCAAGACCAGTCAGTAGCCAGAATTAAATTATAGGACAAAATTAAGTCAGTGAAGTGGGTAAACAGATAATTATCATATTAAATACTTATGTTAGTAATATAATTATATTCCTCACTACTCTACTTGGACAAACTATCATGTTTAACTACATAAGATTGCTTGGAGTGTAATTACTTGTGATGTTTTACATTTGTAGTTGCATTGTATTGATGGTCGTACATATATGTATCTGTAAATTATGGTCAAGAACTTAATCTTTATTAGTTCCATTTAACTATGCATGAAAATTAATGAACTTTCTTTTACAATTACAAATAATTCACTTTAAAATAATTTGAAATTTTTTGGAATTAAAGTACATATGTCTGTATTTTTTTTTAAATGTTAGAGAATATGTTGGCAGATTTAATATACTCGTATTTTATCGCTGGGTCCAGTAATTAGGATTGAAAGTTTTCATTTAAATTATTGCTAATAAAATGTCCTATTTGTGTGCCAAAAGCTTATCTTAGTGTTTTATGGATAACATACACTTGTTATTCATTTATTTTATATGTAAATACTAGATTTTGCCCAAAAACTTAGTAAGAAGCCTATGTGTTCTATCAGACATGTTCTACATCTGTGCCAAATTTTATCGAGATCCATTAAGCCGTTTTGGAAAAACGTAGCAACAACTGTCCAGCCATCCAAACTTTGGTATTTTAAATATTATCGATTAATTGAAAAGTTGCTGTCATCAAAGTTTTATACCCGGTGCCATGTTAGAGACATATAGTTGCTCATATCCTTGTTAATTAAACATCAAATTAAAGAACGATTTTGAGTTTAGTTTGTAGCAATGAATTTGAAATCAATACTTTGATGGTGAAAGAGAAAGATATGCAAATTATTATGCATTAAATTATTGACGAACTCGGAAAATAGATGTTTGAAATTAGAGACTAGGCGAGTCACCTGAAATGAAATTAGGTGAATTGGATAGACGAGTTGCCGGTAATAAACTTAATAAACAACAATTCATGGTTTAATATTTAAATGTATGTTACATACGCAAAAACAAGTTATCTATGATAGTGTATACTATTTGTACGTGTGCTAATACCACCGTTAGGAGTCGCGCGGTGCGGCGGCGGCGCGGCGGCCCATACTCGGCTGTTACCTCGATAATCACTGCCTTAGCTATCCGCCGGCGCTGCCGCCGTCTATTGCGGTAGGTCGGCTATTGTGCGTGATTCACGAAACGTTTTGGGAATTCCATAATGGCAACGCTTACTTAACGTTCAGTTTACACCCAAACATATAACATTCACTTTTTCAGATATCAACCAATGTTTTATTTTTTAAATTAGACGCGCGTGCATTATAATTTATAGTGAGTTGCCATGTTTAAAAAACATTTTTTTAAAAATTGTTTTAGTAGATTTTTTTTTCTACGTCCAGTTTGTCCGTTTATCTTGTTTATAATGTATGGTAAGTTTTATTCATAAATTATGTACAAAATATATAAGAATAGTAACAATATTTTGTTCGGTTAAAATTCGATGTTTAGGAATTGGAATTTAAACAGTCTACGATTCGATAAATATTCAATTAAGTTTGCGCCACTTCACTGAATAAGGGCGTTAAAATACCGATTTAAACTTCTTACTGTTAAAATTAATGGTAAATTTAGATATTAAACTTCTGTGTAATATGGCGTGTTCAATTGAAAAAGGGGTTGGAGATTGTCTAGAAAGGACATATCGTGGTAGCAGTTTACTCCACAGGGTAACTATTACTAGTGTAGGAAAGAGAGAAAGTTATCTATATCAAGACAAAATAATATAGTCTTAATGCGACAGTAATTTCTCTAAACTTATCAATATAATCTTGATTTATATAACAACTTGAAATATTATTTCAAGATGTGAAAACACTGAAAGAACATTGTTTTGTTAACGCGTAACTGATCTTAATGACACTTACACTAATCGACGAATAATTGTCTAGAATTTTATAGGCGATTTTTATTGATTGATTTCTATCACATTTTATAGGATTTTATAAATGAGGTTCTGAATTCGTCAGTATGTATTATACAAAAGGGAAGCTTACACAGACATGTCCCATTTATCGGATTGACATAATTTTTTCATTAATTATCTTTGCTGAACATATTTATTCTAAACTATAAAATATGAAAAGGAACATTAAATTCTAAACTGTTTCTAACCTTTTTTTCTGGCAAATATCAAAACTAACGGCATTTAAATTACTAATAAATATGTAAAATTATTATTTACCATTACTCTTGGACTTTTGTATAATAAAATAAATCTATGTAATCAGAAAGTACATAATAATTTGAATCACAATTCTCCGGATCGGTTTTGTGTGCAGATTTATTAAAAAAGAAGTTGGGAAAATTAATATGACGTGTAAGATTTTTATTGTGCCGTATCTATGTATATAGACTGTGCTTGAAAATTATATTAAATGTTTATAGAATTAAGTGTTCTGCTTTATTGATGTAGCTTTTCGATGTTATCTTTATTTATAGTTTGTGATGCATTAATGAATAAGAATCATTGTAATAAATAATTTGGATCGTTACTGCATTCGAAATCTAAAACAGTTGCTTTAAAACATTTATGATGCGACAATATCATTTCATTTTTTTGTACATTGGTAAATTCGTTATTAGTTTATATGGCAATATTTTAGTATAAAAATTATATGATTGCTGTTAGTTTATGTGAATTGTTATTTTACTTTGGTTGTGTTACAAAAGTTTAATGTCACTTTCTATTTGGCTCATCTCGAATGTAATTTTTGTAGATATAATATGTTATGTTTTATTTACCAAACAATATCTGGCCAGATGAGAGAGGCGCTTTCATCGCGGTTAGTTCTCTATGAAAATATGTAAAACCTACATGGGCATATAAAAGGCATAAAAGAAGAAAACATTCATTACAACTATAGTACGAAAAGTACACAGACGCACAGAACGAGATTTTTTTTCCTTCCTAAGCGGCCCGTTCTCGTCAAATCCACCTTCCCTTTCCATGTTTTCCTTATAAGAAAAGGGTAAACAAAAAAGGAAAATTAGACCTTCCCACGCACACACTGAAGGCATACGTAAAATGGAGTTTATTCCACTTTACGTATGCCTTCAGTGTGGTCGTGGAATTGACCGGCCCAGTCATGCATCACATGTTGTTGCTTGCTTTTACCATTGTTAAAATGCTGCTTCCTTTACGAATCGTTTTGATGGTTGTTAAAAACCAATCGATATCAAATATACGAAGCCATATTGAATCGAATTCACGTAGTCATTATAAACTTATAATTATAACTTGTGTAGATACAGCCTTAGTGTTAATACTAATAGCTAATGTTGCCAGTTGGTTACTATACAGACTCCCCTTTAAATTGACAAAGACTGCTATTATAAATTTCATTTTAATTATATAAAGTAGTACGTCCTATTGTTATTGTTGCATTATGTTTGATTATAATTGCGCAGAGCATTGAAATTAGAAAAATTTAAACATTACAATTGTTAAGATTAGGTAAATGTTACGGTAATTTTTATGTTTTAGAACTCGATTTATTTTATGGCTAACTATTTGTGGCTTAATAATAACATTATTGTGGAACTATTTTATCTTTACGTTCAAAGGGTCCAGTCTGTATTTTTTTATATGGCGATTTTTTCGTGTGGTGGCATATTCCTAAAGGCCAAAACTTCAAATAGGAATTTTAAAACTTGATGATCTAATGTATTGCTTAATTCTCAATTAATTATATGTAAACCCTTACTTAATATGAATGACTTTACATTTGTTGTGGGATAAAGTAGTAAAGTAAGGTTGTGACGATTATATCTCAATGTCAATGAAATTGTAAAATATTATCGTCGATTTTAAAGGCGTGGAACGAATGTTTAATTTAAACATAGGTATTTGATGTAAGAGTTTAGTGTGTGTTATTAAACACAATTTTTTTTTACAATCTCTGTAGTTCAATGGGCTACAATTGTACGTTGCAATGATATTATATTGATGTATAATAAAATGGAAAATAATACAAAATTGTTTTATTCAAAAACCTAAGTTTTATTAAAAAAGTAAGTTTCTCTAGATTTCCCATTGCAAAAAGACTGTCCACAAAAACTTTGATTTGTGCACAATTTTTTTGTTTTTTTTTTCTTTGTTTTTTTATTGTTGATGAAATTAGAAAAAAGAATCGCGTGTATTCACTAGATATGGTCGGAAGAGTCTATGTATTTGTAGAGATCTATGGAATCCTAAGGCCTTTCGTACACTAGGCAACGTAAATCTTCGAAACCCGGCGATTTTAATCAGAAAGCGTCTTATGCAATACGATCTCATAGTGTCTGTTTGTGTACGAAACACAGTTACGCTTCGCCAACATTATTTTTATTCTTTGTTGTCATCGCTAGTCTCGCGCTACCAGTTTGTTGAGATCATGGTAAAAAAAGAAGATTTTTAAGATGGCGGAGCGAATCTGTACACTTGTAAAATTGTTAATTCGTGTTGATCATGTAGTCGCTACCTATACTGCCACTGCGACGCCCCACTGACCAGCCAGAGAATAGGGCCACTCAGTGCGCCCACAATGGGGCGCTACCCCTGTAGGCGCTCCTCAAAGAAAACACCGTACAATGCTGGTTCGGGCTACCAAGAGCCTAAGTTCAACAATGAATTAACCAAAGAGTATCTATAATAATTTTCTTTGCACCTAGAGTATAATATTACCTAGCACTATAATATTTACTGCGCAGTAACAGTCGTGACTTAGTATTTACAAATTTTATTTTTATGTCTTGATAGTACATGACACACATTTGTTACCCTTGAATAAAATCTTTTCAGTTTAAAATATATTACGGCAAGGAATGCTATTTGAACGTAAAATTAAAACGGTAAACTAAAAATTGTAATATCTGTATAAGGTACCTTTGTGTTTTTGTTTTTGACCCGCAGTAGCTTAAATGGGTCCACCGATTTTGAAATTATATGTTATATGTTTCATATTCTTCTCTAATGTATCATATTGTCTTTATTTTAATTACTTAAATAATAAAATATAATTTCATATTTTGGTATTTAATTTTGTTATCTGATCGGGTTTCTATCCGATTAATTAATATTTTATTCAACCGATTTACTTTACTTATATTAACTTGACACAAAATGCATTTTAGAAGATCTAATTTTCATACAACAAATCAAAGTTGGCCTTTATTTATTCTTACAACTGTGAACGTTTTCATGAAAGAACATCGCGCATTATCGAACAAAATATCTACTAATATATTTTATTTCGTGCTTGAAATTAGTCCTCAAAAAAATTACTTAATTCTTGTTTGAGTTGAACAAAATTTGTCATTTCAACGTCGTGTTTCTTTTGTTTTTATTCATATTTTAATTTTTTCTTCACAACGTTGGCAATGGCGTGTTACGTTGAGCGAATATGAAAAACGAAGTATAGTTAATTTTTTTTTCTGAAAACCTGGAACATCTTCTGTATTATGTTACTAATTTATTTATCAACTTGCTTCATAATAGATATTGGGTCTGATATACAGCGCGATACACAGTCAAATATGTTTGTCAAACACAAATGCATGCCATATATTAAAGCGCTCAGCCCGGTAAGTGATCATTAGTCAAAATTGTTTGATAGAGATTTTGATATAAAAATTTCAATTGTCGACAATAGTGTAAAACAAAGCCTTCCATCAAAGACTATGAAATAATTTGACAAATACGCAAAGCTTGTCAAAAAGTTTAACCGTATTATTGCCATATCTTTGTATCTTATCTGTACAGTTTTGTTTTAGTTATTACGGTATCAGCTAGTAGTAATGTATTTAAAAATATTTCAAAGATTTTAAATGTTTAGAAACGAATCTGAAAAAAGAATTTAAAAAAAAAAATACGTCCCATTGTTTGGAGAATTACACATTCAGAGGAACTAGCATACAATAGACATATACGAACAAACTAGTAATGAGTGACATATTAGTTTTTTTTTAAATATAGAATGAGTGGGACGGCAATATGTTTTATACCGGTAGTGGAAAAAGGTAAGATAAAGTTGTTGACAATTCAGCGGGGTTTTAATTGTGGTGCCTTCTTGAAATATCTTGTTGACGTTCACTCATTGATCAAGGTCAGGTGGTTTATAAATTATTTCATCAAATATTTTAAGGTTTAAATTAAAATTGGGTATGATTTCGGAGAATAATTATCGTTCGTCTTCCATCGCAACTGCGAAATAGAATAATACTTTAAAAGCTTATTTTCTTTAAATTAATTAAATTCATTATTTAATTTTATGTTTCTAATATCATTAAAATAATAATTAATTTATAATTACAAGTACAACGAGTACTTTTTAAATTATCAACAACTTTGTAAACGGGTTTGTTGTGTATATTTTTCTCCATCAAAGATTTAATTATTTATACGCTTTGGAATTCAATGTTATAAACTGGTCCGTACAGATATGGTGCCTTAAGCTATAATACGTGGGTCTTTTTTTAAAAAAAATAAGATTTTGTAATTTAAGTCATTTAACAAGCGCATGCGACTTTGTCCGCGTTTACTTACAACCAACACAAAGTAAAACTCAATTAGGTACTTGTTATTGTTAATTGAAAAAAGTATGAAGAAAACGATTACAATAGTAATAGGAATACAAAACAGTAGTCAGATAAAAAGGGTTTGTGTCGAATTTGTTGGTAATTTTTTTGAAGGATTTTTTTTCCATACAAACTTTCATCCCTTATAGTCTGAGATAGGTCTGGAATCCTTTCTAAAACTGGAATGTTAATAATATGAAGTCGTTTACATTTTACTTTCCCTATTAAATATTTGACATCAAAAACACATATTAATTCATCACAATTATTACATAATCTGTATGTTTCAATTACATAACCAATAATTATGTTTTAGATTCTAGCTGACGAAAATGTTGTTTACCTACCATTACCTTACTACTTATCCGGAGTTGTAATCTTCTGTGTCTGGCTGTCCTGACTTTTAGCATTTATAAAAATATATGTTGCAACACAAACAATATATACGTAAATACTTATTATTAGCACATATAAATGCTTGCATTGTTTTGCAATCGGTAATTAATTGCGTTACATGATCAAGTCAACTTCTCTATTGTATTATTGTATTTACATAGTACAAAGTCAAGGCGTTAGCTATTCAACTATATGTATAGCTATGTTAATATGACCTCGATTGCAATGTATTAATAATACATCGATGTTTTTAATGACATTTAATTTTCTCCACATACAGGATTTAAACGAACGTAACGTAAATAGTTATAAATGTTCTATCGCTAAATCTAACTGGTACCCTATAGCCTCGTAGAGAGAAAAATGCAGACTCTTCAAATCGGTCATGCTTAGGTTCAACAAGGTCGCAAAGAAACATACTTCCTTACTGCCTAAACCGGACAAAAGTGTGAATAGTGTTAGTTAACAATGAATCTGTATTTTCTGCATGGTTCGTTGAGATTGTAGTTACATCAGCGCGCCTCACACTGCCAGTGCCGAATGCTGAGGCGCGGTCAGGGACGCGGCCATGACCACGGTCAATGGCGCTTCAAGGTGCCCGCCAAAACTATCTGTGTTGCCAATACACAAAATGATTTTTGTTTTTCCCATTGCAATCAGCAAAGTTAGGTAAAAAAGTTGCTGTTTTTATTTTGAAAATTTATTCTGTGAGTTAGAAGGTATTATCTCAAATTTTCATAATAAAATTGTTGTCTCTATTTTATGCAAATATTTTGACAGGGCGAAATTATAAATAGACGATAAAAATATAATACTCTCCTCAGGTAAGAACAATTGGGCCCTGATTAGTGTCGATTAGTGCCTGATCCGTGATTTCCTGAGAAATAAGATTCTCGGAAGGGTTCGGCAAAAAATTGCTCTACCAGTATCCTGTCCTTGACAACTTTGAGCTACCACGTTAACGGTTTCTAGGACGTTCCATTCATGTGTATACGCAGAATGTATTTCTATTCAAAATTGAAACATTTAAAAACTAAGGAGTAAATGCGTGACAACCATAAGGTAAGAAATAGAGAAGTCATGTTTCGGATGTTTGAGAACAAAGTCAACTATCAATGTTACCAAATTGAAATCAACTCCCTTTTTATTCTTAATTAAAACTATAACGTACCTATTTAAATAGAACGAATACGTTAAAGAAGTGCGTCATTTTCTTTAAATAATTATATAAAGCTTTGGTAAGCAAACTTACAGAATTAAAAAAAAAACAATATACATAATGTACAATATGCAAACCCATGACTTCATCCTTTTGAAGTTGATAATCTTAATATAGCATTCGTTCTTTCTTTTTCTCTTACCTGTAGCTTTTATGATCACGTCACTCACTCCAAATGTACAAGCTTCAGTGGCCAACTTAACATATAGCACATTCGTAATGAAGGTCAAGCAAGTTCATAATTATCGTTTTATCGCGTTTGATGTTTACTCTTCGCTCAAATGGAAGATTCATTATTCTCAATATAACTTATATCAGTCAATAGTAACAAGGTAGGATTAACGAAATTAAAAATAAATTAAAAAAATCGGTAATCGCAAAATAACCTATACCAACTTTATAAGTCACGATAAACGATTTCTAATCAACCAATGTAGACCAAAGTCCGAACGAAGATTACGAAGGCCTTGATTTTTCATATTAACTCAGAAACTACGTCATAATCTTGATTAAATTATGGTATAATTAAAATTGAAGGTTAAAACAATTCGCATAGAGCTGAAATATATAAGTATGTTGGGAACACCATTATATTTGAACCCAGAAAAGTCCCCATCGAGCACGCATTTGAAAAAAAATTGAAGTCAAAGTATTCAAAAATAGGATTTTTTGGCGAAATGGTAAATTTTATTAAAAAAACTACCTTAGGTTGTAGGTTATTATAATTACTTTTTAAACAACCACTATTTCTGAGATATTGAAGTTTGAACATTTGAAAAAATTGTATTTTTAGCCAGCG